TTCCTCTATAGGAAATTACCAAATAATTTAAGTTATTTAGTATTATTTTAGGGTTAGGTTAGGTTAAGCTCAATTCTGGGCCGAGCGCTGCGGCTAGGACGGGCTAGGGGGCCGAGCGCTGCAGCCAGGAAAGACCTTTAGTACAACAATTTTAATAAAATTAGTGTATATTTAGGGTTAGGTTAGGTTAAGCTCATTTCTGGGCCGAGGGCTGCGGCCACATGTCTGGGCCAAGCGCTGCAGGCTAGCAAGGCTAGGGGCCGAGTGCTGAGGCTAGGACATCCGACCTAAAAATATTGCTCATCCGACCTAAAAAAAATTGCTCATCCGACCTAAAAATATTGATCATCCGACCTTGAAAGAATTGCTCATCCGACCTAAAAAAAATTGATCATCCGACCTAAAAAATTGCGTATCCGACCTAAAAATATTGCGTATCCGACCTAAAAATATTGCTCATCCGACCTAAAAAAAATTGCTCGACCAACCTATAAATATTGCTTAACAGACATAAAATTGTCACTAATCCAATTTAAACTTCATGGTAATTAAACAGACCTAATATATATGCTCAACCAACCTAAATATATCTCTAAATCTTAGGTCGGAAAACCTATATATTTCTCATACGATGTCAAGCGGACCTAAAGCTTTTTTCAACCAAACCGACCTAAAACACGTGGAAACTACTCGATATTTAGGTCAGAAAACCTTTAGGTTAGAATCATCTAGGTCGGAATATACGGCACCAATATTACAACGTCTATACGCAACATCCTCTATACTGAACTTCCGACCGACTAACTTTCTGACCTATTGCAATATCCGACCCATCGACAGCTGTAGGTCGGTTGTTCATTTTAATTTTTTAAATCCGACCTTGCAGGCATGTTTGAGTTCTAGTCATGTGCATGGAGCGAGTTCAGATGATACACTTTTTTTAGGTCGGATGTACACTATTTGTAGGTCGGATGTACAATTTTCTAGGTCGGATGTACACTTTTTGTAGGTCGGATGTAAACTTTTGTAGGTCGGATATACTCTTTTTGTAGGTTGGATGTACACTTTTTGAAGGTCGGATGTACACTTTTTATAGGAATTGGATATACTCTTTTTGTAGGTCGGATGATGTACACTTTTTATAGGAAGAATATACTCTTTTTATAGGTCGGATGTACACTTTTTGTAGGTCGGATGAACACTTTTTGTAGGTCGGATGTACACTTTTTGTAGGTTGGATTTACACTTTTTGTTGGTCGGATGTACACTTTTTGTAGGTTGGACTCTTTTCATAGGTCAGTCGATGTACACTTTTAGTAGGTCGGATGTACGCTTTTTGTAAGTCGGATGTACACTGTTTGTCGGTCGGATGTACACTTTTTGTGTCGGATGTATACATGACTTAATTTTGTAAGTCGGATGTACTGTTTTGTAGGTCTGATGTACACTTTTTGTAGGTCGAGGATGTACACTTTATTTTAGGTCGGTGTACAGTTTTGTAGGTCGGATGTACACTGTCTGCAGGTCGGATGTACACTTTTTGTAGGTCGGATGTACGTACTTTTTGTAGGTCGGATGTACACTTTTTATAGTAGGTCGGATGTACACTTTTTGTAGGTCGGATATACTTTTTTTGTAGGTCGGATATACTCTTTTCGTAGGTCATGTACACTTTTAGTAAGTCGGATGTACGCTTTTTTTTAAACAATGTTTGGTTTGGTTTTACAGTGGTATATGGTTTTATCACATTGTCAATGCACACTATAAAGGCTAACCTTTTTAACAAGTGTATTTCAAGAATGTAAGGCAAGGAAAGTCAATTGCGGCTATGAACCCAAGTCCTTCCCAAGTAACAATTTTGCGGAAAATCCGCGGAAATTCCCAGGAATCTTTCCTGGGAATCCGCGGAAATTCTCAGGAATCTTTCACAGGAAAATCCGGTGAAAATGTCGACAGCTTTTCCCAGGAATTTCTCGTTACCAATTCCGAGGAACCAGGTCTGAGGAATTTCTTGTAACCCATTCCGAGGAAATTCTCGTAACTCTATCCAAGGAATTTCTTGTAACCAATTCTAGGGAATTTCTTGTTACCAATTCTTCAGAAAAACCAGAGAAAATTTGTAGCAAAAAGGTCTTCAGAACCAATTCCCGGGAATTTCCCTGGAACTATTCCCAAGATTTTCTCAAGAATTCCTCAGGAATATCTTGAAATATTCACTAACAAAAGTAGTGAATAACTTAGCAACTATATTGCCCCTCCAACTTTTTAGAAGTATAACCATCTTCTTAAGTCAGAATGTTATAGTCGTTTTTGATATTAATGAAGTTGTCATGTATTTTGTTTATTCAGACAAGTGAATTGTCAAGAAAAAATTTTAAAAAAATGTTTTAAAATTTTTAAATATTTTTTAAAAGATGGTTCTGAAGTAAATTATCATTTTTTATCAATAAGGATATATATATATATATATATATATATTTATATATATATATTACTAGCTGGAGGGCCCGGCGTTGCCCGTGGAAAAAAATGTATTTTTTGAGCATTCCCAAATGTGGCCTGAGTTTTGGTCTCGGGAACTAAAAAAAATACAGATGCAGATTCAGATCCTAACTCCTAAGCAGCTGAAATAAACATTCTCCACTATGCTTATCAGGATTCAGAAGATTTTGGAGTTAATATTGAGCTCCTGGTTGAGGATTGCTTTAACGAGGAGATTCTTGAGAAAATACTGGAAGAAACAACAAGCATTCCACCATCAATAGAAACAACAGGTTATCATTGGGTGCAGAGGTTTAAATCTTAAATAACTTTACTTAAGTTCAATGAATCAATATTCCTTAATTAGTGGCAATCAATTAACGAGTGAATCAAAATGTCCTTTTTTTCCCTCAAAAATTAATAATGGCTGTCGCAAATGTGGTTTAATGAAAAAATGTCTATTTTTTATGGGTTTCAATAGAACTGACTTGAAACCCGAGCTCAAATCAGTTTACAGGATAGAAAAATAAATTATAATTTGGTTTGGAAATCAATTCTTACTTGGGCTATATAATTTATAACTAGATTTTAGAAACAATTTCTTTTACCCTAGAAACCAGCGACGTCACACGACCAGTCCCATTAGGTCAAGATAGGTCAGATTAGGTCGGGTTACGTCAGATTACCAAATTGGTCGCAATATGACCAGTCCCTTAAGGTCGTGTTAGGTCAGGTTAGGTCAGATTACCAAACTGGTCAGAACATGACCAGTCCCCCTAGGTCGTGTTTGGTCAAGTTAGGTCGGGTTAGGTCAAATAACCTAACTGGTCTGATACTGGTCTTAACCTGACCAATCCACTTAATTTGGATTTGGTCGAGATTGGTTGAGTTATGTCAGGAGACCTAACTGGTCGGAACATGACCAGTCCTTCTAGGTCATGTTTGGTCAGCTGTTAGGTCGGATTAGGTGGAGTTACCTAACTGGTCTCATACTGGTCTTAACCTGACCAATCTACTTAGGTTGGATTTGGTCAAGATTGGTTGAGTTATGTCAGGAGACCTAACTGGTCGGAACATGACCAGTCACCCTAGGTCGTGTTTGGTCAGTTTAGGTCGGGTTAGGTAAAATAACCTAACTGGTCGGAACATGACCAGTCACCCTATAGGTCTTGTTTGGTCAGGTTAGGTCGGGTTAGGTTGAGTTACCTAACTGGTCTCATACTGGTCTTTACCTGACCAATCAACTTAGGTCGGATTTGGTCGTGATTGGTTGAGTTATGTCAGGAGACCTAACTGGTTGGAACATGACCAGTCCCCCTAGGTTGTGTTTGGTCAGGTTNTCATTTCACCCCTCTTTCAGAAGAAAAGGAGTGCACCTGCACCCTTGCACCCCCCCCTGGCTACGGGCCTGATGTTTTCATACTTATAAGAATGCTTCTTCCTATATATCTAAAAGATCGATATTCCAAAAAGGGCTACTGTTGAAAAATACAATACAAAATTCAATGTGAAACTTTTCTATACTCTGCTCATGCTTGTTATAATCTGAAAAATTTATGTCAGTTAAAATATTACAATAAACTTTTAGTTTCTAAAAGATGAGCAGAGCCCCCAAGTGTTGTGATTTTGCAACTCTATTAAAAATGAAACATGAAGTTCTTCCCGTGATATTTACGAGAATTAAAATCTAAAAATTCTGGCATTGTATTACTCGAGTTTAACACGATAGGAATATGCAAGATCTTGCACTGGTTAATTGCTACGTCTACAACCTGTTGTGTATTATTTCAGGGTTAGGTTAGGTTAAGACAATTTCTGAGCAAGCGCGGCTGCTTTTAGTTTAAATTTGAACATAAATAAGTTCAAATGAACAAAAAAATAGTCTACAATTTTTTTTGTTCCTGCAAACTATTTTTCATTTATTTTAAAAACATCTGTTTTATGTTTAAGTGTAAATCCGACCTACAATCGATGACCATCCGACCTTCAAATGTGTACATCCGACCTACAAATGCATATATCCGACCTACAAAAGTGTAAATGCGACCTACAATTGATGACCATCCGACCTACAAATTTGTACATCCGACCTACAAATGCATATATTCGACCTACAAAACTGTAAATCCGACCTACAATCGATGACCATCCGACCTACAAATGTGTACATCCGACCTACAAATGCATATCTGACCTACAAAAGTGTAAATCCGACCTACAAATTAATTGATGACCATCCGACCTACAAATGTGTACATCCGACCTACAAATGCATATCCGACCTACAAAAGTGTAAATCCGACCTACAATCAATGACCATCCGACCTACAAATGTGTGCATCCGACCACAAATGTGTGTATCCAACCTACAAATGATATATCCGACCTACAAAAGTGTAAATCCGACCTACAATCGATGACCATCCGACCTACAAATGCATATATATATCCGACCTACAAAAGTGTAAATTCAGACCATGATCGATGGCCATCCGACCTACAAATGTGTACATCCGACCTACAAATGCATATCCGACCTACAAAAGTGTAAATCCGACCTACAATCGATGACCATCCGACCTGCAAACGTGTACATCCGACCTAAAGTAGGTCGGATAAACAAAAGTTTTGTGAATTAAGGTGCAACTGACCTGTAGTTTAACAGACCTACAGCAGCTAAAAAACAGCTGGAAAACCACGTGCATCAAGTAGGTCAGAAGTGTAATATAGAGGATAAGTGTAGGTCGAAAAATACACCACCATTAATTGTATTTCTTTTCTAATATTTTGAAAATATTTTTTGGAAAGATTGCTTGCTCTTGATGAAACCTCTCATGCTGGAGCACTTAAAAATGCTCCTGAATTTTTCTTCGTATCTAATCTGGGGATCGTGTTTGTTTATCAGTTAAACTTTGCAGTTTGTAATAGAAATTCATTCAGATATACTCATACATAGTGAAGCACAAGCTATATTTCTTACAAAAGCTGAGTTTAGTGTTAAATATAATAAAATTCCAGACTTTTTGTCCTTATACTTCAGTCAAACAAAAAGTACTTGACACAAATAGGAGACTAGGATAGACCATAGAAAGAATTCCTTTGATGTATCCGATCTACCCTCCTTTTTTTCAAACTATTAACTTTTCACTAAAAGGGCGCCACAAATAGGCTACTTCTCAGAAAACTTCAATATTCCAATAGCAATTTCGGCCATTCCCTTAAAATGTACGTATTATATGTGGATCTCTCACATCTTATCTTTAGATCTCTTAAATTTAGATCACCTTGCTTACATTTCTCTTCAATGCGAGCTTACGCCAATCAATTTATGGTGAAACGCCCTAATATACTCTTCTTTTCATTTTGATGCTTTGTGTTTTTCACTTATGTCCTTTTTGAAGAATTTGAATGTGCTTCTTTCACATTTTGTCTCCAGATCTCAGAAATTTAAACTACCTTGCTTACAACTTTCCCCCATGTACGCTTATGCTGATTCTTTTTATTTTTGTTCAAATGTCCTTTTCTGTTTTTTTCGCTTTAACCCGAATTTAACAAGATTTTTTTCTTTTAAAAATGTTTCTTTTTTATCATCAACTACATATACATTTTACAATATATAAATAATTTACTCTATGTGAAACCCTATGATTTTGTTTTACTGTTAATTTTATCGTTGTATCGCTTAGAACCATAGAGAATAGAATATATAGAGAGGAATTTAATGGAAAAAAGTGTAAAACGGCCATTTTGTTGTACTGTTTCAATACTGCAGGTGTACTTCAGATATTTATGCCATATAACCTGTTGGGCCCTGGAATATCATTTTATAGAAAATCTAAAATTATTGTTAAAAGAAAACCAAATTATGAAATAGGCTGGTTTCATAATTGACCAATGATCATTTCACATAGACTCTATGCCTTCCACTTTACAAACGATGATTTTCTGTTATAACTATAAATCAAATGATGTTTTTATTCAACATAATTCATTATAAAGTTTATTTAACAGTTTAAAAAATTCGAAATTGAAATGGATAGTCTAGGGAACATACTGTATTAATGTACTCTGCTGCATATAATTTGTGAACATTTACATGATTTGTGCACTTTGAACTCCCTTTCAGGCTGAAAGGGACTGAAAAAAAATCATACCGAGAGATTCTTTTTATTCCTCTCTATATATTCTATTCTCTATGCTTAGAACCAATAAATATTTTGAATTATAGTTGCTTCATATTTTGGTTGATTTATTTTAAAATTCTTTCTCAGGAATTAAATAACATCTGTATGTAAATCTTATTATTTTCATATTATCATAAAACAGTAAATAATGATTATAAAGAAATAATGAAATGCTAACATTTGAATTAAATTAAAAATATACAATAGGAACTTTCTCCTCTGTTTCCTTGATTTAATAAACAATTCAAATTTTTGTTAAAAGATATTTTCAGACAAAAGGATTATTTTTTATAATAAATTGGGAATTTTCTGCTTGTCTAACATTGAAAAGGCAAATACTCTTCAAAATTGAGAGTTAATTAATTTCCTGATCATTCACTTCAGTTTGGTCTATCCTGTTCTTCACTGTTTCGTCGGCCAACAGCTTCTCCGGGAGGACGGAATTTAAACTTGTGAGACCGGTCAGTGTTGGCGCTCTGAAACAATATCAAATATTTATTTTACATCATCTGCATAAATAGTTAATATTCTATTCTTAAAGTACTGACAAATTCATCTTTTCGTGCAAACTTCCAAATAAAAAAAAATCTTTTGATAAAATATTAATTTTAGATTCCCTCAAAAAATAACAGTTTATACGAACGTACATTAATATATTTGTACACTTGTACAGTGCTTCAAAAACCCCAAATTCCCCTTTATGGAGAGAAGCATTCCAATGAACGGACAGGACAAACAGTTGTACCTTGGTGTTTACATAACAGTTCAGATTCTGGCTGAATAGTTTCTTATGTTCCTCAGGAGAAGGTTGGATTTGGATTTCATGAGGAGAATCTTTAAACCCTCCTGCGGAACTCTTGAAACTCTCATCCACTCCATGAGAACTATCGAACCTCTCAACCTCTCCTGCGGAACTCTTGAAACTCTTATCCACTCCATGAGAACTATCGAACCTCTCAACCCCTCCTGTGGAACTCTTGAAACTCTTATCCACTCCATGAAAACTATCGAACCTCTCAACCCCTCTTGCGGAAATCCCGAACCTCTCAACCCCTCCTGCGGAATTCTCGAACCTCTCAACCCCTCCCGCAGAAGTATTCCGGAATGAAATGATATTCTTCACTAAAGATAAAATCAATAAAATAGAATAAGTCGTAGTCGTAAATATCAATACAATGAAAACGACTTTCTATTTTAATTTTGATTTCTACCAATCTTTTAAACAGCAGAGACAGAAAAACATGTAGATATACAAAGAAAAGTTGCCAATTAACAGCTTCTTTTTGTTTACTTGTAACCTTGTTATTTAAAAAAATACTTGTTATGATTAAAAGCATTAATAAAAAGTCGTCTTCATTGTATTGATTTAATACCCGAAAATTGTATAACAGTACAATTGGTTTGCCTAAGTAGTAGAGTACCTGGAGTAGAAGGTTTCATGTTTTTAATCTCCAACCTAGACAAAATCATCTCAATTAAACATTTTTTATTTCTCATAAAAATCAAATTTACCTTTTAGGTTTAGGTGATAATCCAGGCCAAAGAGGTTCAACCTTAGACACGGAACTTAACTGAAATAGTTTCTTTTTGCGTAAAATCATAAACTTAATGTAATACATGGGGTTACCAGCAATATATAGACTTAAATGAGGACCTGGAACTATTAAAGTATTCTGATCCCGGAAAGTGAATATGATTATCGGCCTTAAATACTTTTTTTAAGGGAAATCTAAATAATTGGACAAAAAAGAAAAGTGAACAGATGCATGGAACCATTTTTGCAAGCGAACATATTTTATAAAGTCCATACAGTTTGAAGTCCCATCCTTTTTGGATAACCCTGTATTTTAAAATCTAAAACGTGTAACAGCTTAGTGTCTTTTAACCCAAATTAAATGACTTTGATAAAAATTAAAACGCATTTTTTAATCTTTCAAAAATATTTGTTTACCGAGGCGAACTTGTATTTCTTTAGATCTGGACTCAAGGCAGACTTGGGTTTCTTAGAAATACTTCCTGGGATAGGATTAACATTCTCTTCCACATCATCTCTAGCTAACTGTTTCCATTCATCTTCATCCTTCTCAAACCCATGAGTGTCTCCAATTTCAAGATTTGTCTGATCACTCCCATTCAGAGAAGACCCAACCTTCTCCGGATGGTTGAAATCTGATCCCGGTTCTCCAAGGTATCTTATGAACCTTGGATTATCAGCAATAAGCTCGGAGACCTTCTGGAAACCATTCAAGCCTACCTGAAATTAAACATATATATAAATATATATAAATATTGGAGAAGGACACTAAACCGCAGAAACCATTTTACAATTTAAGTCCATTATAACCGTTCTGGGTTACCTACAAAGGATGAGACTAAAAAGATGATCTGAATCTTATAAAATATGACGATCCCAAGGCGGGTAAAAAAGTCTTCTGCCTTCAAAGTCTTAGGTCTTTCAATGGCCTATGTAATGATTTGGTAAAGGAATTAGCAAGTTTACAGTTGCAGGGACTCATGAATTGAAGGAAACAGATACTAAGAATTTCCTAAAGTCGTCTTGAAGTTTCATTTTTTGTGGGTAACCTTGTGCGATATAGAGTCCTGATAAGCACCTTTTGAATTTGAACTCACGTAAAACTATCTACATTGAAGTGCATCCCATGTTTGTATCGAAATAATTTCGGTAATTTTTTGTTCTCTCCATAAAAATCTAACCAAAAAAGCGCAAGAGATCTCATCTGTTTGACAATTTAAAATACATAGCCTAACATAAAAATAAAAAGTATCAAAAACGAAAAATCTAAATTTAATGTGTGATAATTGGTTCGAAGGTTAAGACTCACTGAACTTTAAACCAGGACCTTTATAGTTTGTACCTTGCACTGTGACGCTGTGGGGTTAGATGACCAGTTCTAACACTTTTAATAAATAATGTGTAAAAAAGTAATAAAAAATATTTTCATGATATATTTTTATCCATTACCTCGGTATTGTAGTTTGTTGCATACAAATCCTTTAGCAAATATCTTCATAAAATACTGAAAAAGTACTGAAGAGAGTTAACTCCAACAGATGGGACTTTAATCATGATTTTGGGGGTATTAAATTTTAATTATCATTTATTTTTATATATTAACTAGTTCTAATAACGCCACCCCACTCACACAACCTATAGGCTATGACTAGGATCTGTTCATGGCTGCAGTGTTGCTCCTGATCTCCTCTAGAATCCTCCAGGATGGCACCGCTATATGTCTGATACTTTGTGATCTTTATTATGTCCTTGTCTATCTCTCTGTGCTATGTCATATCTCTAGTGGTGTCTTTTTTCCAGATTACTGATGTCCAGGAGACCCTAGGGCCTTTCGGTGTATTCTTCATATTACAGTTTGATCCTCGTCTCATCTCGTTCTTCTCTGACCCCCAGAGGACCAACCCGAAAGCGCACCTGTTCATGTTGCTTGTGTGGTACCAGGTGGTCCTTCTCCCTGCTCCTGACCTAGACGTGACCGTGCGCCCACACGCGCTCGGACTGAACTAGGAGGATGCTCTACCTGAGCAGATACCCCAGGTGTGCAGTCTTCATAAAAAGTAGAATTTTACGAGAATTAAAAGTTAATTTGCTATTTTCCGCCAACAAATAATTAGTTAAGGGTCATTCAAATGAGATTGCGCAGAATCCTCGTCATCTGTCTCTCTTATGCAGTGGCGCAACTGGGGGGGGCTAACCGAGTTTCGCCCCCCCCCCTCCTTCACTTGACTAAAGCATGCTCATGATTGTGGACCATCGTTTATAAAATTTTGGCAAATAAAAAAAAAAAAAATTTTCTTTGGCCCTTCGCGTATCATTTCTGATAGTATTTCTAACTATTTTCTCACTTTCGATTATTACAATACATATATATTATTTAAGGTTGCACAAAACCTACGAAGTATGACAAGAAATATAATATGGATTATATCGAACTATTAGGACTTTTGCAGGCTATTAGAGGAAAAAGATACGCCCCTTACTGTCTAACAAGAACAGAGGGACTTTGATCAGAAAGACTTTAAGTATTATGGATTATGGACAAATGTAAGATAGTCGTACTGCCAGGAACTACTTACTACTTAGGACTGCACAGACCTTCAATGACTATATATTGGATAAATATGCTAGTGGATGAATTACAAAAATCTGCTAAAGACAGTATTATGGGTCTATATATACATAGTGAATATTACTAAGCCAGGGATTATAGCAGACACTAAGAATTACTTAAAAAGTCACTAGAAAAACAGATGTTTAGCTAATCTACTCACGTCGTTCATTTCAAATCTGTTGGATGTATATTATTTTTTAAACACAAGAACAAGCCATGAATATTATAAGAATTTGGTAATTTATTGAGCACAGAAACATCATTTAAAAAACTCTGTTTTTTATTTCAAATCCTGAAAACAACGCTTTCTTTCTAAAGAATTTTCGACAGGGGGCTAGACCCCACTGTACCCCCACCCCCAGCCACTCAAAATCAAATTTCGCCACTTCGCAAAAGTGCTAATTGTGCCACTGCTCCTACGGTTTAGTTATCAATAAATATAGTTGTATTCTTTGTTTTTCTGTTTGTTTTGGTGTTTGTGTGTATGTCCGATCAAAACTCATGAATCCCTTGACAGATTTACCTCAAATTTTGGGGAACTTGGTATGTACCACGGGAATGTTCTTAGCTTGGGTTAAAAACTCTAAGAATTGAGTATAAGTTGACTTTTCATAGCGAAACTAAAGCTCCCAGTCAAAGCTGGGTTTCCAAGCTAGTGTCTTAATCAAGATATTCCCTGCTCTACTGGTTGTATAGTATCATCAATGGTATCAATAAGTCCACCCAGGCTACTAATCTCTTCTATAATAAGCCTGAAAACACGACAAAAAATTATGATTTTAAACGGAGTTTTATATTAAAAAAACTTGCTCTTGCATTTTTCGTAAAATGGAACTACTAAAGTTTTAGCCCCAGACACTGATTTTCTAATCCCTATATCTTTGCAACCCAATGTAGTAGACCTTTCTGACCCCAGGTTGCACAGATTTAAGGATTAGAAAATCAGAAATTGAGGAAAATAATAATAATAATCTTATCAGACAAGAAAGGTTTTTAATTCATGTTAAATATCAATGACGAGACATTTTAAATGAAAACTCATTGATGTTTGAAACCACAGCTTTTTATATGTCGTGAACATCTTCTGGAATAAAGCGAAGAGGAACTGAACACTTGCCTCAAACTCAAACTTCATATTCCCGTCATCTTTGCAACCTTGATGGTGTAAAGCTTTGTAATTTCAACCTTGACTATACAGCTAGATACCAGACTTTGTAATTTGAAATATCACAGGTCTATGACATAAGCTCAGATGTTGCATCGATTTAAAATTTAGAAAATCGGAGTTTGAGGCAAAAGTTCCCTTTCAATTCACCAAAAAAGAAAAGCTGTCATCAATATTATGTGACTGAATCATTTCGGCTAAAATATTTTAAACTAACTAAAGTGCCCGGCGTTGCCCGTGAAATAAAAAGTTTGATTAAATTTTTTACATTTTGAAAAAAATTCAGCCAATTTAGTCCAGCCATTTATTGTATATTAGCCTATGTCAAATCGGTCTATTTTTGGTACAGAAAAGAGTAGTCGCTATTGAGTTGCGAAAAGACAGGTTTATAAAACCAATTTTTTTTTGATTGGCTGACGCTAAGGGTCCCTGCCCGGGTCCTTACGTTTAAAAAACGGCCGTTTTTTGGCGAAATAAACGATTTTTCAATCAAAGTACTCTTCTTCATACCTATTCCATATTCTCCGATGTAAGACTTAGATATGCCTGATTCTGTAGGTGTACAACCCTAAGTTTTAATGTACGGTATGAAAATCACAATTTTCGTTTTTTTTTTTGAAAATCTTTATTTCTACATTTTATTTTTCTGATAATATCGGATAGGTATCAAGAAGAGTACTTTGTACTTTATATGTAAGTCTACATCATGTAGATTACATATAAAGTACTTTTCTTGATATCTATCCCATATTATCAGAAAAAAATGGAAAAATATTCATTTTTTTCTTCCTTTGTAATCTACATGATGTAAAGAACTCTTCTTGATACCTTTCCCATATTATCCGAAAAATAAAATGTAGAAATAAAGATTTTCAAAAAACTCCGAAAATTTATGATTTTCAGACCGTACATTAAAACTTAGGCTTTTACATCTACAGAATTAGGCATATCTAAGTCTTACATCTATATATAACTGTCTGATATTTATGTCGGAGTCTTGGTGAAGGATATGTCAAACTGTCTAGATATATATCCTTAAGTATAAATGTAAGATATATCTAATTCTGAAGAGTTTTGATGTACGGTATGAAAATCATAAATTTTCGTAGAATATGGGATAGGTATCAAGAAGAGTGCTTTATATGTAAGTCTATATCATGAAGATTACAGAGGAAGAAAAAAACGAAGATTGCTTGAAGTATAAGGTACCTGCTCGGGCTTTGAAAATGGTTAAAATCACCAAAAAACGTCCGTTTTTCAATCTTTAAAAGCCCCGGGCAGGAAACCGTAGGGTCATCCAAAAGTTAAAGGATTTTTACATAGGCTATAATGTATATCTAGATGTCTTCATTCTAACATAAGAAATTAAATGCCGATGGTTTAAAGTTATTCACCTGATTTCTTCTTGATGGTTTGAACTCATGAGCATAATCTTTAGTTTTTTCATCTGTTCAAGCTGATTCTTAGTTTCTAACAAAATAAACTGAATAAATTCAATTTGCCCAAGTAAAATGTTGTCTCATCCATATCAGAAAAATATACCAAATAAATATAAAAACCTTTGGGAATTTTTTTTTGTTGGAATTTTTCTTTAAACAAAAAGAAAAAGCAATATCCTGTCCTCTTTATAGTATTGACATAATTGAATATGAGTCTTGTGTGACATTTCAACTTTAAATTCTATTAGCGATAGATCGAACTGTCTTGGATAATGTTTGATAGTTTGAACACAACGAAAGGCGTTTCAAGGATCAGTTATCATTTTTGTGCGGATTTGTTAACCGTTTCTTAATTTCTTTTTAGTAATTTACATGTTTAAATTTGAAGGATCTAAGTTGCGAAACATGTTGAATTTTAAACATCAATAATAGGCTAGCTCATTTTTAAATATTTTGAGAGGCCATTCTACGTTGGTTCTGATACACCCCTGTATGTGCTGTCGAAGGGGGTGGGGGAGTTCTTTATTAGGGCTAAGAAGACCGGTAAACCTAAAAATACCTTGCTCCTTCATAGTTTTTCTCTGTCTTCTCTGAGAAACCATCTCTCTGAGAGCAGAAACTTGTTTGTTAAGTTCTTCGAGATCAGATTGCTCCTGAACAGTTGCCATGTTAGTAGCTACACTGTATTTCCGCCCGTCAAAAGTAAACTTCTTTGTGTGAGCCAGGGGTGTTTTTTTATCAAGCCCCTTTTTTCAGTGGTTGCAAACATCCTTTGTTCCCATGCATTTTCCACTAAATGAGGACTTTTTCCCACGGACTTTTTAGTATATAATCACAGAACAGATATATATTCTCTATCTTTATGTATATAATACTGGAACCAGAAAAAAAGTCCTAGAAAATAAAATCTCAAAATGGTAGGATTTTATTGCCAGAAAATTATTTTTTTGATGACTTTTTTCCACAGGACTCTTTAATACCGAAACTTAGGACTTTATTTCCGAAATTTGTTTGGCGGTTACCATGAAATTACCAAAAACGAAAGAAATTGTAAAAAAATGACCGTGCATTTTTAAAGAGATATATTTAACCTGTCCCATCTGTTCTAACTTCTTGTGTAAAGCTTCAACCTGAACAAAATTACTTCAGACATGATTTTTAATAGTTCACAATTAATAGAAACGCAGTTATTAAAAATAGAAAAAATTACATGCAGTTTATACGTCACAACAACATAATTTTCACAATATAATTTATATTTTCAACTTTTTACGATTTTCATGCAGTTTATACAGATACTTAGGACTTCTCATTTATTTAAGTCGACACTAAGGCGGCTTGAGGAGGAGGAAAAGGGAAAGAGCGGGCGCCATCTTTTAATCATCCCCCTTCCCACGGGAGAATATTATATGCCGCCCCTGTGCCGACAAAAACTAATTATCAACAAAAGCGGAAAGTTCCCAAGAGATTGAATATAGATAATCAATACCTCATCTAACTCAGGTTCCATTCTTCTTAAAATCTCTTGTTTTCGCTTCTGTAAACCTGTAGTTTGTACCATACATCCAAATCTAGATATTATACATTGAGAACCAGAAGGTGCACTGAAATTTGATCTTATACTCTTTTGATCTAAAGGGAATCTGATCTAAAATAACTCACCTCACTCACTCACTCTGATCTACACAAAAAATTGGATCAAATTCTATTTTTTTTTTCAGAAAAAAATTCGGAATTTGATCTAAAACTTAATTTTACAAATAAATTTTTTCCTGCAGTGAATAATTATGAACATGTTTTTAAAAAGTTTTTAATTAGATCTAAATTGTGTGTATAATTAGATCTTAAATGTGTGGAATAAGATCTTAAATGTGTGGAATTAGATCTTAAATGTGTGGAATTAGATCTTAAATGTGTAGAATCAGATCTTAAATGTGTAAAATTAAATTTTAAATGTGTAGAATTAGATTTAAATGTGTGGAGTTTGATCTAAAATTTGAAGAATTAGATTTAAAATGTGAAGAATTAGCATCTTAAGTGAACAAAATAGTTTTTGCAAACTGTGGGGTTCAGGTGGACTATAAAAAGGTTAGGGCTGAGGTTGAATGTAGGTAGGACGTAGGCTTAAATAGAAATCTTTCCAACCTGAACCCTACTCATCTTTAACCTGAACCATACTTATCCCTAACCTTAACCATACTCATTACAAACCTGAACCCTACTCATCTAGCTATAACCTGAACCATACTTATCCCTTACCTTAACCATACTCATTACTAACCTGAACCCTACTCATACTTAACAGCTGAACCCTACTTATCTCTGTCCTGCACCTGAACCCTACTCATCACTTAACTGAACCCTACTAGTACTCATTCTTATCCAGAACCCTTTTCGCTTCTATCCTGAACCCTACTCATCTCTAGCATGAAATCTACACATCTCCATTAATGCCTGAACCTTGCACATTTTGTAAACTTTTAATTCAGATATTTTATTGAAATAATAAAATTTTAGATCAGAGTCTTCACTTTTTAGATCAAAGTCTACACTTTTTAGATCAAAGTATACACTTGTTAGATCAAAGTATACACTTCTCAGATCAAAGTCTACACTTTTTAGATCAAAGTCTACACTTGTTAGATCAAAGTCTACATTTTTTAGATCAAAGTCTACACTTTTTAGATCAAAGTCTACACTTTTTAGATCAAAGTATACACTTTTTAGATCAAAGTCTACATTTTTTAGATCAAAGTCTACACTTTTTAGATCAAATTCCATATTTTTAGAAATAAAGTTAAAAATTGTTAAGATCTTGCAGAGGCAAAATGTATTCTAAAAAATTTCATTGTTGAAAAATAATATTTTGGATCCATTTCTACATATTTTAGATCAAATTCCCAATACACCCAAACTTAAGCATTATGGTTCTCTAAACCCACTGTCTGTACCATACACCCAAACCTAAACATTTATGGTTCTCTAAACCTACTGTCTGCACCATACACCCAAACCTAAACATTTATGGTTCTCTAAACCTACTGTCTGCACCATACACCCAAACCTAAACATTATGGTTCTCTAAACCTACTCTCTGCACCATACACCCAAACCTAAACATTATGGTTCTCTAAACCTACTGTCTGCACCATACACCCAAAACTAAGAATTATAGTTCTTTAAACCCACTGTCTGCACCATACACCCATGAGCCTAAACATTATAGTTCTCTAAACCTACTGTCTGCACCATACACCCAAACCTAAACATCAGAGTTCTCTAAACCCACTGTCTGCACCATACACCCAAGCCTAAAAAGTATAGTTTTCTAAACCTACTGTCTGTACCATACACCCAAACCTAAACATTATGGTTCTCTAAACCTACTGTCTGTACCATACACCCAAACCTAAACATTATTTCTATAAACCCACTGTCTGTACCATACACACAAACCTAAGCAATATAGTTCTAAACCTACTGTCTGTACCATACACCCAAACCTAAACATTATGGTTCTCTAAACCTACTGTCTGTACCATACACCCAAACCTAAACATTATAGTTCTATAAACCCACTGTCTGTACCATACACACAAACCTAAGCAATATAGTTCTTTAAACCTACTGTCTGCACCATACACCCAAACCTAGACATTATGGTTCTCTAAACCTACTGTCTGTACCATACACCCAAACCTAAACATTATGGTTCTCTAAACCTACTGTCTGCACCATACACCCAAACCTAAACATTATGGTTCTCTAAACCTACTGTCTGTACCATACACCCAAACCTAAACATTATGGTTCTCTAAACCTACTGTCTGCACCATACACCCAAACCTAAACATTATGGTTCTCTAAACCTACTGTCTGCACCATACACCCAAACCTAAACATTATGGTTCTCTAAACCCACTGTCTGTATCATACACCCAAACCTAAACAGTATAGTTCGCTAAACCCACTGTTTGCACCATACACCCATGAACCCAAGGATGTAATGCAAGGAAAGTTATTTCAGAAGTGTACACATCTTTTATACTGTCTCTGGGCGGTAATGTAAACACAAGACGAATGTCGAAGCCTGACATGGGATCCATCTTTTACATAAAAAATCAATGAAATATTCTGGTCATAGAAAACTATTATGTGAATCTTCAAAATTATCAAAATTTATTGCTTTTAACCTCCTCGGATACTACTAACACTAATGCATCTGTTCTTGTTTACAAATTCCGCCCAAAGAGAACTGGTTTCTATGTGTTCGCAGAGTATACACGACAGCAATTAACTTTCCTTGCATTACACCCTTGCATGAACCTAAACAGTATAGTTCTCTAAACCTACTGTCTGCACCATACAACCAAACCTGAACAGCATAGTTCTCTAAACCCACTGTCTGCACCATACACCCAAACCTAAATATTATGGTTCTCTAAACCTACTGTCTGCACCATACACCCAAACCTAAACATTATGGTTCTCTAAACCCACTGTCTGCACCATACACCCAAACCTAAACATTATAGTTCTCTAAACTTACTATCTGTACCATAAAACCAACTAACCATTATGGTTCTCTAAAACCATACATTTTTAAAATGGAGCTTTTAAGATTTAAAACTTCTGAATATTGTTCCCATTTTTTTGCGCTGTTTTAAACCTATTATAATTTCAGTGTTCTTGACTTTTGTGTTTTAAGACTACTCTTAAAGATACAAAAGTTAACAAATATTTTGATTACAACTTAACTTAGTTGATAAAATTAGATTTTTGGAGCGCAATTCTGACTCGTGATAAAAGCAAAGAATAAAAACTTCTAAAGTTCGCAAAGCGCCCGTGAAGAGTTTTGGACAGGGTAAAATATTTTTTCGTTAAAAATCTCAATTTTTACTTTTGAGAGAAGTTTCCAATCTCTCCATAAATCTCGTCAATGGAGTCTCCAAGCTTCGTAATATCTGCCACAGTTCTGAGATAACAAAATTATGCTTCATTCGGAAAAGAAGGAATATTTAAAAATTGTTAAATATTATTCATAATCATGTTTAATCAATATCTTGTTTATCAGTATAATGTTTCCTTCGATGCTTCTCCACAATTTTCTCGCTCATGACTAAAAGACAAAAACCTGCAGTTTAACAATCTGATTTTTTAAAAATCAAAATAAGGTCAGAAATATAGTATTAATTCATCCGAATCTTATCATATTGCCAGTCGGAAGAAGATAAATTCTTTTTAATAACTTTAAAGTCCTGGTCAAACCAATCAAAAACCAGAAAAGGAATAGAGTCTTTGCCACAAACTCAGATTTTCTAATCCCTAAATCGTTGCAACCCAATGTCGTAGACCTTAGATATTTCAAACTATGGCTTCTGTTGGACCAAATAATCTAAGTTTGTAAAATTCACATCATAAGGTTGAAACGATGTAGGGATTAGATAATTTGAGTTTGTGGCAAAGACTCAATTCCTGTTCAATAAATTTTTTCTATTTAAAAATAAAATTGAAAATAGATTTTATTGATACATTGGTTATATTTGTCCTGGGCCTCTAAGTATGCTGTATCTACTCCACTCTCCGCCTAAAATTTATCCATTTTGACCAATTCAAACTATATGTCAGCCAGTTTCGGTTTTACACGGGTTCTGGGACCTGTTGTAAATTGTACAGTTTATATCGTTTATATCTAATTATCAGTAAGCCAAAAAATCGGATGCAAAGGAATCGAGTTATTGCCACAAACTCGGATTTTTTAACTCCAATATCTTTGCAATTGCAATCCCATGTCGTAGATCTTAGATATTTTAAGCTATAAATGTTGCTAGATCAAATAGTCTAAGTTTGAAATATCAAAGATAAACAGCATCAGGTATAGGGACGAGAAAATTTGACTTTGAGGAAAACTTAATTTCTTTAGGTTTTCACTTACTCTAAATATTTATTTAACTTCGCAGATTAAATTGAACCACAATTCTTTTTCAGTTTGAAACTGCACACAAGATGGCTGATTGAACTGGCGGGGTTTTATCTATTTCTCTATCTGGTTCCAAATTAGACTTGTTTTTTTTCTTCTCCTTTTTTTTTGGGGAAGGGGGGCGCTTTGAGGACTTATTTGAGTCTTTTTTTACCATAGAAAGTACAGTAGTGAACACTAAATTTTCAAATTAGGAACAAAGATAATTTAATAATCCATTATTTTCCCTTTTTCGAAATCTATTTAGAGATTTCTAAAATAACTGGTGTATCATAAGTCATAACTTGATGGTAATTTCTCACAGGAAGAATTCTTCTCAGATCTTGTATCTCTAGGAATGGATGGATGCTAGGAAGAATTCTCCTCATATCTTGTATCTCTAGGAATGGTTGGATACTAGTGTAGTTCTCCTCATATCTTGTATCTCTAGGAATGGTTGGATGCTAGGAAGAATTCTCCTCATATCTTGTATGTCTAAGAATGGTAGGATGCTAGGAAGAATTCTTCTCATATCTTGTATGTCTAGGAATGGTAGGATGCTAGGAAGAATTCTCCTCATATCTTGTATCTCTAGAAATGGTTGGATACTAGGAAGAATTCTCCTCATATCTTGTATCTCCTGGAATGGTTGGATACTAGGAAGAATTCTCCTCATATCTTGTATCTCTAGGAATGGTTGGATGCTAGGAAGAATTCTCCTCATATCTTGTATCTCTAGGAATGGTTGGATGCTAGGAAGAATTCTCCTCATATCCCGTATCTCTAGGAATGGTTGGATGCTAGGATGAATTCTCCTCATATCCCGTATCTCTAGGAATGGTTGGATGCTAGGATGAATTCTCCTCATATCTTCTATCTCTAAGAATGGTTGGATACTAGGAAGAATTGTCCTCATATCTTGTATCCTGTATTTCTATCTTACAACTTTAATTCATAGTATAATTAATATCAGTGCTTAATTAACACGATGTCGGATGTCCGCTGTAGCTGTTCTGACAGCAAAATATTGAGAATGCAACAAAATATTTATAAACTGAATTTACGAAATACAAAAATTAACCAAAATTATCCAATCATAAATTGTAATAGAAAAACTGGAAAAGTCATACAAGCTATAAGGCATTCTTGATTTAATAATGTCGTCTTGAGATTGAATCGTGGATAGTATTTTGATTGATACCGATTCACTGAATTTTCTTCAAATGCAAAGGCCAGTTTATTCATATGTGGATTAAAAAACATGTTTAAATTAAAACTATAAAATGGAAAATTCCTGTAATATTATGATCTCTTTTCTTATCTCTTGTATCTCAGTTTTCACTTCCTCTATAGTAGATTTAAATTTTGGAATCCTATAAATAAATAAATTCTTAATTGAAAAATTACATAAAAATTATTAAAATGATTATACACCTTAATCTGAGATAAGAATTGGCTGATTCCTGCTGTTTTCTTGATTTTTTTAGTTCATCATTATGGGCTTCTGCATTCTTGATCTTGAATAGAACATCTTCAAATATATCAGGACCATTTCCCATCTTGTTCAGTCCTGCCAGACTATCTTCAAATATATCAGGACCATTTCCCATCTTGTTCAGTCCTACCAGACTAATCAAATAGAATTAAAATACAACATTTTATGTGAAATTGTGTTGTTATACCCAAGGTTCCCCATTGAACATTATATATATTTTTGAAAGATATTGCAGCATTTATTCGTGAACATAATCATAAAATACATCTGGTCCTGGAATTTTTATAATGTGAACTGCTTTTCAAATGCTTTCAATAATACTAGAAATACATTAAGACCCACAAGACATGCCATTTTTTATCTATGAAGACGACAAATTACAATAATGAATTTTCTTGGTAAAGCCAGAGCCCGTTCTCTCCATATAAAATGGTCGTGTAGTTCACGTACTTAGGGGGACATATGCTGGCCGCTAGATGTCTCTTGCTAAATTCTTATCTGATAGATAGATATTTCTCCGTACATTTGACGACCAATACAGGAGACGTCAAGTTGTCGACCAATGTAGTATATGGAAGGAACGGCCTCAAGGCTGGTTCGATTAAACACTACAATGGTCGACCAAATTACGTCTCAGACTGTGTGCGTCCTAATTATCTATCTATCTAATAAGAATCTGATGTGAGATATCTACAACAACATTAAATATGCAGAAGATTGCTAAATTATCGTCTTGATATTCGACGGGTTATTGGTCTCACTGTAGTTTATCTTTGATATTTAAGTAGCATTATTTAATAGTTTTATGATTTATTTGTAATTATTTAGTTTTTAGATAACAAAGTGAATGATTAAGTTGAGCTGTTTCTCTGTATTTTGACATGGCATGTACAAATTAAAATAAAAAGTATAAATGTTAGGGGTTAGTCAATAGTTTATTAGAGGTCGATTTAAGGTTGCCTTGAAGTCGAAATTGAGTCGCACAAAGGTTATGTAATGTACGTGTCTGAAATGTCGATTCAACGTCATTAGTGGCCAATTTCTTTTTCATTTCACCAAAGGTACAACTATAGTTTGTATCTATCTATCTACACTGCTCTGGTAAAGCGTAACCATAGTGTGACTATGGTTCTACCTATGGTAGAGCGTCTAAGAACTTGGCCATAGGTTATTTCAAGGTTGAAAATTTAAGAGGTCAGACAATTTCAAGAATGACGTTATGACAACGTTAAAGATGATTTGGATACAAAGTTGTCTAGTGCGACGTTGTAACAACACCTCTGTGCAATCCCACGTCGTAAAGACGTGCTGAAAGGATCTCACCTTTAGGAAAAAAATGCCAAATAGTCTCACCTTTTAAAGGTCCTGCAACATAAGTTTTGAAACTCACTTTATAAATAATTAACCATCAGGATTGAATCCGAGCTTTAAACCATGTCTCCTTTTTAAACATCCCCAGATTATCCTTTATTAATATTATTGATAATACCTTAGTAGATCAGATCCAATCGAATTCTCCATTTTACTGTGCTCCGGTTTCCTTTTTCTCTTTTAATAAATTTTTAATAAATAGAAGTGATAAAATATGAAATGCACAAATTATTCTCATCATTTATAGAAAATAATGCTTTTATAGAAACTTCATCGCATAAAATATATGTATTATATAAAAACACATGGAATAAAATGAACATAACTTCATACATCAAAGTAAACATTAAAAAAATCACATGATACATTTACAAAAAAATATCCAACTATCATATATGTATACGATATAATGTATTAAGTAACGTATCCACTATTACAAGTTTAGGATTACAATGGAATATATATCACAGAGTCTTAATGAATTTGTAACTGAAATTTCTACTGCCGATGTAGCCTAGTATGTAAAAGCCTGGGAAAATTTCGAAACCCGTTTCTCGCAAGCAGTGTTTCGGATCCGGATCCGGTCGGATCCGTATCGTTTGGTCGGATCCGGATCCGGATCCGTATCAGGAAACGTCGATATGGATCCGGGTAGCGCCAAAAATTAACCAAAACCATGGAATAAATAAATCAAAATGTCTATATTTTTTCAAATCTTTTTTGTTACATTTCGCCCGGTTTCGGAATATATAATAAATATAGTTTATAAATTATAACCTTGCATAACATTTAATAGGGAAAATCCGATTCACAGAATCAAAAGTTACCTCGGATCCGGATCCGTATCAGGATCCGGATCCATCATCACGGATGCGGATCCGCGGATCCGGATCCGAATAAAAATGATATGGATCCGAAACACTGCTCGCAAGCTTTGAAAAACTATTATAAAAACTGCATCTAGTATTTTTTTAAATCTGAAAAGTTGCAAGAAAATGCACCGAGTAGGTATAAGAAAACAACATAATGCATTAAATATAAGCAGCGCTTATAATCTTAACCAATAAGGATATACGAGATAATGAGACACGGCGATAAATTAATAATGGATAAAAAACAGATTAGCTCGGAGGTGGAGAAATTGAAAAAAAAAATATAGAAACTAGGAGTTTAATCATTAGAAATATAAACAAGCGGCAATGGCAAAGCCTTCTAACTTATGACCAAAAAGGGTGAACTCGGTGAACAAATCTCGGTTAAACTCACCGCCGCGCAGTGCGGTGAGAAACAATTTAAATTAGTTCCTTCCTGTCAAAAATTCAGATTATTTAAAATAAGACTGAACCCACAAAATTCACAATGCACATTATCTAACTTTGAACTAAAAATTAGAAATAACATTTTGTCAACTAGACATTTTGTTCTTTTAAACAGTCTGTGCGCTCCCATTGCTTCCATAAATTAAAAAAAAATATGTCGGTATTAGCACGGAAAAGAGCAAACCGGTTCTGTAGTTGCATTTTAAGTGTACAGAACACTTGTACAGTAAGTTAAACTATGTTAACTAAAACTCGCGCAATTGCAAGAGTACGTTCGTCTCAATTAGATACGTTTTTTAGACAATAACATCTTTTGAAAAAAATACTTTTGAAATAGACAATTGGATTCTTTGGTCTATGACTGGATTCAATTGTTGATTAAACTTTTTACGAATTTTGTGAAATTTTAAGTATTTACAATTCTGAATAGAAAGTGACTGGTTATCCGTGAAGAATTGTAAATTTTCTCACATCTAAAACCGATAAAATTTAAGGTTGCAATCTAAACTTGAAAAACACACTCTGATACCAACTCAATGAAACACAAAAATAAGTAAAAAATAAACCGAAAACACCGCTGTGAAACAAATACTTTAGTTTCTTGGTAAAAAATAATGATAACAATAAGTATTATCCACTAAATAAGACGAGGATTTGTGACATGAATAAAAGTAAAAATCTTTAAAAGTACTAATAATGACGAATAAGAAAAGGAATTCTTTGACTTAAAAACAGTTTTTTTATCAGTTAGAAAACTCACTTAACCAGATACACTTGAAAGTCAATACAACCTTTAATTTGAGATGAAAATGGAACGGTTGAAAAACATCAGCCGGAGTATTAATTAGATAAACTAAACTTAAGTTCAGTTCTCTATATTTCAGTCAGAACTCTGCTCAAGTACTAAAAGCTGAACTTAATCTAGAACCTTTGAACGAACATAATTGACTGTAGTTAATCCAATTTTAGAAAGACTATTTCTTAAAGAAGTTTCTTGTGAAATGTGAAAGAACATTTTCATGTTTTACAACTCGTTGGACCAATAAACTATATGTTTGTTAAATATCTATCTGCATGCATGCTGCAACTTCAACCCGAGTTAAACTTTAATCGCATTTGTCTTGAAATATCAGCTTGGTGTATCCCGGCGTTCCTGAAAACAAGATAAGATATTTTTAAAATCATAATTTTTTATAAATAATTTTTAAAACTTTTTTCGATCATTATAAAACAATTTTCCAAACTTACATTCAAATTAAATGAAATTAAAATCATAAAAGCTTAATTGGATTTTAAAAAAAGAATAATTAATACTAAAAAATCAATAAACAGTCAGCAAATCAACTTATAAATCAATCAACAGTTAACAATGGTTTTTTGATTTAAATGCCAACCCAGTTTGTAAGACCAAAATCTATAAAATTGACCAAATTGACGCAGTTAAAATGAGCAAAGAGTGATGTGCAAAGGAGAAAAAGAGGAGAAACTTAAGATTTTCATGTTTTAGATATAAATACTCCCAGGCTTGGGGGTTTTATATATATCAGCTATTAATCATATTCATTTCCAGAGAATATGTGTCACTGACATTCTTATGCTAGTTCTCAGGTATATTAGTCAGTTTATTACAATCCCCTTCTTTATTTATGTGATAAATACCTAGGAGTGGAGTAGCACAAAATGGACAGGCTGACTGGAATCCACTAGTACCACAGGGTATAGGTATACTACTCCAGTACTTTACTGTTTTAGCATTAGCCATGTGCCCACAGGGAACAAAGCAGTAGTCCGGTTCACTGCTATCCACGTAGAAGGCGGGTTCTATACCCATGATGAGCTTAGCAGCTGAGCTGTTACACATACAGATTGGGCAGGTTTTACTATTGGATCGGTCTCCGACCTTACCCCACTCATGACGACCCTTAAAACAATAAAAGTTAAAAAATTTTTAAGAAGACAAAATTTCAAATTATTTAACATAATCAAAAGAGAATCACGTTTCAACAAAAAAAAATCACTACGAAAGTAGTTTCTTAAACAATTTCACAATTTTACTATGTGACGAAAGTTCTCTTTATTTTTCATCTAAACTTTTAACTACTTAAATTAATTCAGGTGTTTTAATTTCTTTCAATAATTCTTTTTATACATTTCAATAAAAGAAACTAAACCTGGATTATTTTCAGATTTATTTCAAATGCATCAATTATTATTATTAAACATAGTTTTCGAGATGGAATAAGCTGGGATCAGAAATATTAAACGAACGAAGATTTTGGTTCATCTTTAAAATATTTTACATTTGTATTTACAAGTGAAAATATCTAAATGATCAAGATTGGGCTAATAATAACAAAGCAGGATCAATGCAATCAAGAATCAAAAAGTTCGTGTCAAATCCCACTCCTATATTTTCTGAGCATTCACTGTATTTCATAAAGATAACTCATCTTTTTTATAACTGAGGATAACAAACATATTAAACTTTCTAAGGATTAAGACAAATATTTGATTGAGTCATGAACTAAACTATTGAAAAGATCCCAAACTGAATATTTTTGTATGTAAGTTGATATGTTGTTAACAGACTTTTTAACCCCCGCCCCTATCCTTCTTGCAACCTTAGGACGAGGTAACGAAAATGTGCCCCTCTCCTCTAGTTGCGCCCCTGTACAATGAAAGGCTTCACTAACCTGAACATGGCCACAGTTCAGATAAACATAAGGTTGGTTCTCTGAGGTTGCAACGTTTTGACTATTCTTTCTGGGAACCACCAGAGTGTTTAATCCGACAGGACATTGGGGTCTACCAGCATTCAGATTATCCACTAGTATCTCTAGCTCTCTAAAAAAGTTCAGATTATCCACTAGTATCTCTAGCTCCCTAACCATGTTCAGATTATCTACTAGTATCTCGAGCTCCCTAACCATGTTCAGATTATCTACTAGTATCTCTAGCTCCCTAACCATGTTCAGATTATCTACTAGTATCTCTAGCACCCTAAACATGTTCAGATTATCTATTAGAATGTCCAGCTCCCTAACCATGTTCAGATTATCTACTAGTATCTCTAGCTCCCTAAACAAGTTCAGAATATCCACTAGTATCTCTAGCTCCCTAAGAATATCCACTAGTATCTCTAGCTCCCTAACCATGTTCAGATTATCTACTAGTATCTCTAGCTCCCTAAACAAGTTCAGAATATCCACTAGTATCTCTAGCTCCCTAAACAAGTTCAGAATATCCACTAGTATCTCTAGCTCCCTAAACAAGTTTAGAATATCCACTAGTATCTCTAGCTCCCTATCCAAAGGAAAGGTCAGAAAAGCGAGAAAGATAAAGTGAGGTTGGGTGGTGTAAAGTTTGAATTTACGGGCAAAGCTGGGTTTCCAAATATTAAACCTTAGAAAGCCTTGTGAAATATGTGCGGCATTTAGCGTGTGAAATTTACGCGGCATCTAACCTGTTTGTTGGACTTCTTGCTAATCCCGCACTAGATCTCCAGAGTAAAGTAGCTCCGCATATATCGATCAAGGTTCCATCAATAAGCTCACTTGTCTCACTAGGGATCGGTCTACCCTTGGTTGGAGCAGATCTGCTCTCTCGTAAACCATAGATTCCTCCTCCAACAGATACTTCTCTCCATACACCTTCAATATAAGAACTAGTTGTATATTGTGTTGGTATACAGTCAAATCAGACTTTTAGGGACTTCCTACCTCCGTCCTCCATACTCCAAATTCAAAATGACTTTACTACATTAAAAATTAAGCTTGGTCTTATGATTTGTAATTTACTAAGACACTTGAAAGATAATCCTGATAATTGTGCCAGTTTACCAATTACAGATCCCAACCAATTTTTTAAGCGCATTTACTTATTGTAAATAGTGATTTACAGTTAGTGTCACAAGTTTTTTTGTATGAAATAAGTGAATCAAAGGAATTTATTCTTTACCACAACCTCTAATGTTCTAATCCCTATGTCTTTGCAATCCAAAGTCGTAGACTTTAGATATTTCTAACTAAGAATTCTGTTAGATCATTTAATTTAAGTCTGAAATATCAAAGGTTACATGATCAGGTCACAAAGATATAGAGATTATAACATTTGAGTATGCGGCAAAAACTCAATTTCTTTGGAGAATTTTGCATCTTTAAACACAATAGGTTTCAACTGTTTTGTTACATTGAGAAAGAGAGGCATTTTCTATTTAGTTCTAGTTCTGTTTGAGGAAAAAAACATATTTTCTGAGTACAATTGGTGTCCATAATCCGACCTCGACAACTAAATTTTGATTGGACGAGATAAAAAAAACACAACAAAGAAAACCTAAATAAATTGTGTTTTTTGAAATAATTATACTTATGCATCATACTTGATAGCGTATAAAACTGCCCAAAGAGAAAATACCAGTAAACATTTGATTATTTGATTGATTAAGATAAATTGATTAACCTGGTTCCTGAGTAACTGAGTTGGGATCGTCAGCTCCTGAGAATGAGATTTGAGGATGCATAATCAAAACTCCATTTGTTGTTAAGCCATCAACAGCCTAGATCAGATTGATTTTAGAAAAAGGAAGACACTTTTCAATTTTAAATATAAAGAAAGTAAGAGGAAGTTCGAAAAAAACCCCTGTTGCATGGAAATCGTTCAAACTTTTTGAGCTAAAAAAAAACACAATAACAATGAGACTTTAACTAAATTAAACATTTTAGTGAAGTCAAAATACCCCACACACCACCCTCCCCGCACAAAAAAATACTTTGTATGAAATTAATATTCTGTGTTAAAAACTGATAATCTATCATCTAAATGACACACATGATCTCAGGGAAGGGTATGGCTTGTCAAGGTTGAACAACTTAACCGCAAAAAATGTCGAGATTTAATATTTTTAAAACGCACCAATCTAACCGAAAAATCGGCAAAAATATGAGAATGATTAAAAATGGAGACTTTCACAGTTTAAAGCTAAGATTGTTTATGGGAAAGGGGGCACGAAGCGCCATAAAAGCATAGTAATATTTTATAAACCCTTAAGAGTATTTCTACCTGATGTTCTGTCTCCCATTTTGTTGCTTTCTCCCCTAGGAATATATTTCTACTTGTATCGAACCCTGCAGCAAAGACTCGAGCGGTGTGCTCCGGCTCCTCCCTGGAGCAGAGTATCCTACAGGAGAACCTGGAGATAGTGGACTGAGCAGCCGCCTTCCCTGGATCCTGGATCCGGTTTCCAGGAACTGTGTCCATAACAACAAAATCAATAGGGGACTCGGAACTTCGACCAATCTAAAAATTATATTTGTTTTTGTAATTTTATCTGTTTGGGATCTTTAAGAAACAGTCAAGGTAATTTCATTTTCTCTATTGAGAAAGTGCAATAAACGATTAACAGCGGGACCATAGAAAATATATCTAAGAACCGATGACAAAGATATTTTAGTTTGTTTTGTCAATTCGGCCGCAACTCCTCTGAAAAGAAACTATGGATTTCTATAACAAAAACGCAAGAAATAAATTTCTCGCAAATCATCGAGTATTAATGCATCATAGTCCAAACAAAAGGTTAAAGGTAGTGTAATGTTAAATAAAGGATCATTTCAAATATCGTTTACAATCCCTTTAAATCTACATTATTACCTGAAACAAATCACTGGTAGGATCCTCCTGATACTCTACTATAACTGCTTGATTTCTATTTAATGTGTAAGATATTGAATGTTGTTTAGCATCAAGCACTGCCTGACTTGTCTGGGGGGTTTTAACAACGTAGTGCTTGGACTTGGCTACTCCGTTGGCCTTAGACCGGCGGTAGAGTACAAACTTGGACCTTCTCCGTCCCTTGTCCCCTTGGGGTAGGCCCCCATTGTATCCTAGTATAACTAGTTCTCCGTATTTAATGAGTTCAGCTCGGGGTTCACCGTCAGCTAGAGGGTCTTGCTCCCCGCTGGTCTGACACTGAGGCATCCTTAATAACGATAAAACAAGCTTTAATAATTTTTATTTATTTAAAGAAGTTTTTTGGTTTAATTGAGGTTTATATTTTCTACAGCAAGCCCCACAAAACTATGGAATAGGAAGACGACAATTAAACTTCAGTGAGTGAAGTATAGTTTTATAGTAAAAGAAGAATACAAATATTCCTTATACAAGATACCTGAAGAAAGGGAACTCAATGTTATCTTGTTCCATGAAGCTGAGAGAATAAAACCTTAATCACTAACACTCTCTTACCTGGACGCACCACCAACAGGAGATTAAAGTAACTACTCTTTAGAACCTCCAATCCCTCCTCATCTCATATAATCTGCAATTCGTACCTCAATTTAATCTTTATTTTAAATACTCAGAAAAAAACTCTTTCAAAGGCTAAAAAAATTATGAAAAACAAGAAGAGAAATTGATACTCAGAATTTTGTAATAGTCTCTCTTTAATCTTCAAGGAAAAAATTTATAATAATATAATTAATATATAAGAGTATAATAAAGTAGGACAACAGGGAGCAATCTTCTATACCCTTCCTCCTACAAAAATTAACGGAAAAAATAATAAGGATATCTGATAAGGAGAGAATTAAACAAAAAAATAATAAGGCTATCTGATCAGGAGAGAATTAAACAAAAAAATAATAAGGATATCTGATTAGGAGAGAATTAAACAAAAAAATAATAAGGATATCTGATTAGGAGAGAATTAAACAAAAAAATAATAAGGATATCTGATTAGGAGAGAATTAAACAAAAAAGTAATGGGATATCTGATAAGGAGAGAAATAAACAAAAAGATAATAAGGCTATCTGATAAGATAGTATTAAAGAAGAAGATAATAAAGAATATCTGATAAGATATTATTAAAGAAGAAGATAATAAAGAATATCTGATAACATATTAATAAAAAAGAATACAATAAGAATATCTGATAAGATAGGATTAAAGAAGATAATAAGGAAAAAGGACCACAGAAAAATTTACTAAAGAATATCTGATAAGAAAGGATTAAAGAGAATAATAAAAATATCTGATAAGGAGAGGATAAAACAAGATAAAAAAGATAAGAATATGAGATGGGATTAATGAAGATAAAAGAATATCAGCTGATAGGAAGATAGGATTTATCAAGAAAAAGAGGGATATCTGAAAAGGAGACTAAACATAAGAAAATAAAATCAGTCACGAATTATTTTCTGTAAGGAGAAAAACACTTATTAAAACTTTTTCAACAATTTTGTATGTTTCTGGGAGGCTTATTCATTCAACTAACTTATGGGTTATAAAACTTTGAATGGGTGGTAAAAAAAGGCCCACTAGAACCAGCCCGAAAAATCTAACATGGTAACAAAGGTATGAGGAACATCTGTGATGATTTACAGCTGTCCATTTGTGCCCATTTTTGAATCATTCCACTATTTGTTTACGTCATTTTTTACTCTAGAAATGACCCAATTCAAAAACATATTCGACATGTTAATTGCTATTTTTTTTTAATCCAGCATGCATTTGGCATGCATGGATCCCAAGTTTAACTGTGGAAATGATTTCCTGACCCCAAGAAATCTAAAATGAGATATCAATCGCTGCTTGACGTGTAAGTAGCTTAAAACGTTTGTCATTTCCTAGAGAACGATTTTTGGACCACCTGCCCCATCCTTTCAATTTTGCACATGGATCTCATATGTAACACATGGATATAATTCTTCATGTGGCCGCAGCACCCGACCCCCCAAGTCTGTCTTAGTCGCGGCGCTCGGTCCCCTAGCTTGTCCTGACCGTAGCTCTAGGCCCCCTAGCCTGTCCTAGCCGCAGCGCTCGGTCCAGAACATGTCATAACTTAACCTAACCTAACCCTAAAATAATAAACAATAAATAATAATTTTGCTAAAAAAATGGTCATGTTCAAAATTGATAAGGGGGGGGGAGGTCCAAAAATCGTTCTCTAGGACGAGGGAGGGAACCCCCAGACGCCATGAGCGTCTGCCAAGCAGACCGAAGCCTCCCAGATTTGCTAGGCAGTCCGAGCCTCCACTATGCAGACCAAGCCTCCGCTATGCACATTAGACATAAAAACCATAATTTTAAAAAAGCTGTTCAGTAGGCTCGTTCACTGCATAGCGGAGGCTCGGAAATTTCCTGATAAACGATTTTTGGACCCCCCCCCTCCCCCCTCGTATCAAACTTGTACATGGATCTTATATGTAAGACATGGATATAATTGACCATGTAGCCGCAGCGCCCGGCCCCCTTGCCTATCCTAGCCGCAGCGCTCGGCCCCTAGCCTGATATACGATTTTTGGACCCCCCCTCCTATAAAAATTGTACATGGATCTTATATGTAAGACATGGATATGATTGACCATGTGGCCGCAGCTCCCGGCCCCCTAGCCTATCCTAGCCGCAGCGCTCTGCCCCTAGCCTTTCCTAGCTGCAGCGCTCGGCCCAGAAAGTGTCTTAACCTAACCTCACCCTTAATATTTGCTAATTTTGTTGAAAATTGTTGAAAAAGTGGGCATGTACAAAATTAAAATCTGTATAACTACTTAAGTCCAGTGTATTTACTCACAATTAATTGCATTTTACAGCAACTCAACTTTTATCAAGCAGGAAATTGTTTATGAAGTCCTCAAATATTTGGTTTGGAGGATCAGAGATCTGAAATAGAAGACGATCAAAATTATAATTTTGTTATTTTGCAAAAAAACACAATTAAGGTATTCAAATTACTGAGTTCGAAAGTAGGTATTACAAAACCCTTCATTTGGGAAAAATCTAGAACGAATTTTGGTCTTAAACAGTTCTAAACTCATTTCGAAATTCATTGTCTAATTTATGATTCTTGATTTCTCCGCGGCATTATTTGGCATAGTCGCGCACTATAAGTCTAGTTTGTCTATAATCGACATCAGCCAGCGTCCGTCGTATAACAAATTTGCATTAAAATGAGGTTTTTAAGTTTACAAATTATAAATCAGTGTCATCAGTGAAAGTTTTTGCCCATTTGAATTAATACTGGAGTAAACTTTCATGTTTTTGTTTAAGAAAAACAAGGTTTTTTCGATATTATATTAGAGCTAAACGAACCCCATTTAGCAATTATTTAATGCTATATAAATGTTAATGTCAAGCAAGAATTCCGTAAAAATTTTATATTTTTCATTTTTTTGTTGTTTTTCAAAGATTTTAGCCGGTTTATCATATTTTTTAGAAAGTTAATAATGTCGTTTAAGGTTGGGGGTGTGCCCCCGAATAGCAATTCTGACAACATGTATCGTGTTGGTGATTACGTTTACTTCGAGAACTCAGCATCAGGCACATACGCCGTTAGACGGATCGAAGAGTTAAACAAAACAGCTAACGGTAAATTTTCATAGATTTACCTTAAAAAGTTTCAAATTTTAATAATTACCAACCCCTCCTTAAAATGTGTTCTGGTAATCTCTTAGAGAACGATTTTTGGACCTCGCCCTCCAGCCCCTTCCCCCTCCTGTCAATTTTGTACATGCGTCTCATATTAAACACATGGATAAATTTGGTCGTGTGGGGGAAACTATTTTTCCACGCACATAATGAACAAATGTTTGTAGGAAATGTGGAGGCCCGACTGATGTGCTTTTACCGCAGATCTGAGGTACCGGCCAGCTTAGTTCATCTAGCAGATAAACATCACTGGGCTGAAGTTGATGTAGAGCCGGTATTTTTACTTTCTTGTCTTTCTAAAGGGTGTCCCAAAAAACAAGGGAATGAAGTGTCCTAGTTAGAGCAACTAAAACTGCTAGTCACTGGCATCCTAAATGAGTCCTACCTTTTTGTTATACCTTCGAAATTGACGGAGTTTAAAAAATTATTTCTTGATTTAGTATTAAACCAATGTAAAATGTTGAATTATTTACAGTGATACAAAGATATGTGGATACATAGCAAGAGTTTTCTACAATGTCGTATTTTGAACCTATTCAAGATGACGTGGAACAATTGGTACATTATATTAATAGCTGTCCTGCATATTTCAGGGCTATTAATTTTCCTTGAAACGAAAATAAAATACCTTGAATTAAAAATAAAAAAGAGTTTCTAGAGAATTATCAAATAAATTATGACTCTCAACGCAGAACTATGAAAAAGCATAACAGCTGTCATAAACTTTTAAATAAATTTCAAGGCGACATTTCATGCGCTCTTGCTATGTATCCTTATATATGAGATCTACGAGGGGAGGAAGGCCAACCACATCAATCTCAAGTCCGAACCACATTCTCCTCAGTTTCTCCTCCGAATCACCTCGAAATCCTCGTCCTTTCAATATTATTTTTTTTAAGTGTCCGATCCTTGAAAATGAATACATTTTTTAAAAGTATGGCGACGTTAGGGCATAAAAAATGAGTAGAATAAAGTTTTCCAAGGATTTTGAGATGTTGGAATCTTCAAATCCACGAGAATGATGTCAAACATTATTTAGGTAAAACTTAAGTCTCATCTACCTTCATAATGGCTAACCTTCTTGATTTAAAATAAATAGCAAAATATTCGGCTTACCTCTGCCTATAATTTTCCCCATGGAACCACCCGGAAAAATTCTAAAGTTTTCACTATAGTTAACAAAAAAGATTAAAGTTCTATAAACTTGGAATTATTTACGGCATTGTACACCTGGAATATTTGAAAATGCGCGTAAAAAAGGTGTACATTTTTAAGGACATTAAACTTGAAATCTTTAATTTAATTGAAACTTTTTACTTTGATTTACAAAAATTTGATATTTCATTTATGCCCTAACGTGGCTTGATTCTTAAAAAATAGTTTTATATGGAAGGATTAGACACTTTAAAAAAATAATATTGAAAGGACGAGGATCTCGAGGTGGTTCGGACGAGAAAATGAGGAGAATGTGGTACGGACTAGAGATTGATGTGGTTGGCCTTCCTCCCCTCGATCTACTGTATGTTCTCATGTGCATTTCTTGCTTATAAGTGCGCAGAATTTGTAACACTTCTCGAGTCTAAATAAAAACTTTCTTAATTTCCATCAGATTAAGGTACCATAGTGAATCTGGTATGCCCCTCTTTACACGGAAGATTACTTAAAATTACGCTAGCAATCACTTTGATTGTCCAGGATAGTGATGATGAGGATGCCGGGCCCCAGGAGGAGAGCGAAAGGGCGAAGCACAAGCAGAGGGAGCTCTTCCTCTCTAGGCAGATAGAAACCCTGCCGGCAACCCTTATTCGGGGGAAGTGCTCCGTGACCCTGTTGTCCGAAGTGGAGGAGGTCTCCAGCTACCTGAACAGGGACGATGCGTTCTTCTATTCCCTCGTCTATGATCCTCATCAGAAAACACTTCTGGCAGACCGAGGTTCCATCAGGTTAGCACAAAATGTTTGCGATAAAAAATTATGTTAGTCGAATTTCTTAAGTTTTAATTTCTTATAAAGTTAAGGTATAATGCCATGTTGATCTCTTGTTAGTTGTATTTGAAATAAATACCGCCACGGATCTCAAATACTCATGGGTCATTCCATGTCAAGTCAGCCACCTGATGGACGGCATGTCACAGATTTCGCTGAAATTTTGCATACAATTTGGGATTGAAAAAAAATGCCGGAACCCGAAGATGAGCGTTCTGAGACCTCCGAGGCCGGAGATATGGCTCCGGAAAGTTTCCAATAATTCGAGATTTCGAGGACGGCCTCTATATTTCAAATGGCTCTAACTTTGTTGTTTTAGAAGATAGCTCCAAAATTTTTTCAGTTTTGAATAGGTAATCACAAGCCCGTTATTTGGCGTTAACAGAAAAAATATCATTAAAATATTATTTACAGGTCATAATTGCATTTCTTTATTTTCAGCCTCCGTTTGAGGATGTGTACCAATTCCGATTGTGTTGATTTTTTTTACATATTTTTATACTGCCATAAGGAAGGGGTTAGAAAAGTTAAATTTATATGTATTTGTTCCTGTTGAGGAGGAGACCTCATAATGTAATGCTAATTTAGATTTCTTAATGCAACTAATAGGTAGAATTTCTGCTTAATTATTGTTATCTCTCCTAAACATTGATAAATATTTAATATTTAATACTTTTATGTGAGTAAGTGATCTAAATTATAATAAGAGACCATCAATAGTATTTATTTCAACTATTGTACACTAAAAATGCATGTATGTATTACTAATTTTTGAATAGATAATAGTCTTAGGTGGGGGTCAAATTAATAATCATACCCCCACTGCTTAAAAAGACTCAGTCACACAGTGTGTTTGCATCTAAGACTAATATCTATTCAAAAATTAGTAATACACACATGCATTTTTAGTGTACAATAGTTGAAATAAATACTATTGATGGTCTCTAATTATAATTTAGATCACTTACTCATATAAAAGTATCAAATATTAAATATTTATCAATGTTTAGGAGAGATAACAATAATTAGCAGAAATACTACCTATTAGTTGCATTAAGAAATCTAAATTAGCATTACATTATGAGGTCTCCTCCTCAACAGGAACAAATACATATAAATTTAACTTTTCTAACCCCTTCCTTATGGCAGTATAAAGATATGTAAAAAAAATCAACACAATCGGAATTGGTACACATCCTCAAACGGAGGCTGAAAATAAAGAAATGCAATTATGACTTGTAAATAATATTTTAATGATATTTTTTCTGTTAACGCCAAATAATGGGCTTGTGATTACCTATTCAAAACTGAAAAAATTTTGGAGCTATCTTCTAAAACAACAAAGTTAGAGCCATTTGAAATATAGAGGCCGTCCTCAAAATCTCGAATTATTGGAAACTTTCCGGAGCCATATCTCCGGCCTCGGAGGTCTCAGAACGCTCATCTTCGGGTTCCGGCATTTTTTTCATATCCCAAATTGTATGCAAAATTTCAGCAAAATCTGTGACATGCCGTCCATAGGTGGTTGACTTGACATGGAATGACCCTCATATTAACCGTGAAAATCCGGATTTTCTCTGTCTCATCAAAAACAAACTTATTTTATGGCGCATGGTTTTTCTTAAATACTTGAAGATGAAAATTCTTAACTAAAACAGGTTGAAATTACAAGATGAAAAATTGATTATTTTAACGGTTTGAAAATACACATAATACCAAAAGGTTTGGTATTTTTTCTTCATTTTAAAAATCTTAAATGTCCCCCTAAGTACGGTAAGTTTAAATTAATGTTTTCATGTTTTTAATCTGCCCAGGATTGGTTCTGAGTTCCAAGCTCCAATTCCTCCCCTCCAGAAATCAGACGAGACAGAATCCCCCGATGTCGAAGTAGAGGAGGAGATGCTCTGGAACCCGTACAACAACATCAAGGAGGACGAGATCAATCAGTTCATCATCATTGCTCGATCTGTTGGAACGTTTGCCCGAGCTCTGGACTGTAGTTCCAGCGTGAAGCAACCGTCTCTGCATATGTCAGCCGCTGCTGCAAGTAGAGATATTACGGTCTTTCACGCTTACCAGGTTAATATTCAGCACAGATTAATGGTGGTGGGGGGGGGGGGGATTTCGAACAATTTGAGAAAAACTGATAATTTTGAAATGTCAAGCTTTTTCCTCTTTTTGAAAATTAAAATCCAAATTGTCCTAAATTAAGAGTTGAACTCTTAAAAATAAGGGAGAAGAAGTGTTTTTTAGAGAAAATAAATACCTCTTTAAATAGTTTTAGGTAGTAATAGTATAGACATTAATATTAACTTTACATAACAAGAAACGGTTTTTGGTTGGTTTTCGCTTTCTTGTTGTACATCCCACTTCTCAATAAGGGAAGCAACATTGAATGTTAGTACTTGAGCTTGGAGAATCTGAGAATTCTTACTGATTTTTATTATATTATCTAAGAATTTTAGTTTTGTAATAAAAATATTTGATCAATAATTAATTTGTTAGGCTCTGCACGCTCATAACTACGATCTAGCCGCAGCACTCTCAAGTCTGGTCCCTACTACTGGTGAATAATTTTTTAAAAAATTTTACAAAATATTTTTTGGTGGAAATTCTCGTTCTGTAGAGGCTTACTATGATGTTCATCCCTTTTGAAAGCTCTAATCCGGTTTTTGTAAGTCAGAAGGATTAAGCCAATTCCTTTCAAATATATCGAACTGGAAAACCAATCAGCAGCCACAAAAAATTCGTTCTCGGCCAATGAGAAATTGCGATAATAAGAGCCAGCTGTTTCACAAGGATTTAACACTTAATCGCTTATATTTAAAAGTATCCGCCGTAGATGCCATACAAACGTTTTCCCCTTTATTTATTAATTATAAAATAATTTCTTTCCATCGGCTTCAGGCCCAGTGCTTTGTCGTGATGAGATGGAGGACTGGAGTAGCGCGGAGGCAAATCTGTTCGAGGAAGCCATCGAGAAGTATGGAAAGGATTTCAACGACATCAAGCGGGATTTCCTGCCCTGGAAGTCTATGAAAAACATTATTGAATACTTCTTCATGTGGAAAACCACTGACAGATACGTTCAGCAGAAGAGGATAAAGGTTTGTCAACTTATTTCTTAAAGGAAATCCAGACAACCTAGAGAATTTTCCGGAAATAAAATTTTAGAAAAATGCTAAAACCGTAAAATAAATCAAAAAGTCTATCCCTAGTTTCTTAATGGGTTTCCGGGGGGCCACAGAATGTAAACGCTAATGATTTCGTGATTGATCACCAAGTATAGAATCTCAATGAGTTTGTTTTATGGTTATTTGGTGTTAGTTATTTTCAAAAGGCATTTTCTCAAGGGGGACTTCCCAAATGACAATTTCCCAATTGTGCAATTTCCCAAGCGTCAACTTCTCAAATGCTGGGTTAGGCCTTCTGAGTCGCCGAAGGCTGCAAAAGGAGGGGTCCGAGAGTTGCTGCTAGGATNCGTTAGTGTTCAAAAACCTTCGGAGAATTGCACATTTGGGAAGTATCCACTTGGTAATATACCCTTGGTAAGTTGCCGCTTGGGGAAAAGCCTTTGAGAAAGTACCAATATTTAATCCTATTTTTGGATTGTTTTTATCTTTAAATATATATTATTTATCTGTTTAGGCTTTAGAGAGTGAGAATAAGTTGAAGCAGGTTTATGTGCCGGCCTACTCCAGGAAGAGTACCAGGGTTACAGGACCCCAGGGGGAGGTTATGGTCCTAGGACGTGACTGTGACGCGTATCCTAACATGACAAAATATTCTTGGAGCCAATACAAGAAATTCGGAAGGTAACTTTAATTTAAGTTAATAAAGGGACTGTAAGCGAAATTTTTAAGTGACCCTTGATGCAAAGAAGTCAATGATTGTTTTCAATTGAGGTTTCTCAACAAACGTGACGTGTGCATTTTTACTACAGGAAAACTTTTGTGAATTATCAGAATTAAACACTTAAAATAGAAATAGCGATATCATATTCCTCATTATTGATCAGATAAAGGTTTCAAGGGTACCGTTGTGAATCGGGTTATGCCATCTCTGCATGAAAAGTCACTTGAAATTGTGCTTACAGTCCTTTCAAGGTGTTTCTGAAAATATGGTTCGAAAATGTGATTGAGGCTTTTTATCGTAAAAGATGATTTTTGTGAGGATAGTAATGAAAGGGAAACCAAGTTATAGAAGATAGAATATGACGGAAGAAGTTTTATTGGCAAATGACTAATATATATAATAATAATGTTGACTGTTCAGATTTGTCCCTGCTGTAACTACAGAGGATTGTTTCATTATTGACCGCAGTCTTAACTCTTCAAAGCTTAGTCAGCATAGACCTGGACTCATCATTGAACCAGGTATTGCGACCTGTTAATGAAAAATACTACCAATTATTTGCAACAAATTTTGGTTTCGGTCAGTTGCTCGCTGGATTAGAAGAAAACCATATCTTACCTAAATGGACTCTAAGCGTAAATTCAAGTAACCCTTCATGCAAAGATAGCAATGCAACGATAACCTTAAAACCACTGTCTGATCAAGTATGAATTAGATATCAATATGTAAAATTTTGAAACGATTATTTTTAATTGCGGTGTCTCTACAAAAGTGCTGATTATTTTAATTTCGGTTTCTCTACAAAAGTTTCAAACTCATTCCTCTTGCAGACACTTCTGAGCCTAAAAAACGACAATATCTTCCACATTCTTGATGAGATACAAGGTTTCAAGGGTACCACTAATGTTAATTGCCATCATTGCTTGGAGAGTCACCTGAAATTACGCTTTATGATTTTACTACTAAATAAATAAATGTTAGGAAGTCCATCGAAGGGAGGAAAGACCCGTGCTGCATTCTTCCTCCGTTCGTCTCCGCTTATGCGCGCTTCTAGGAGAGTGAACGGACACACAGCTAAGCTCAGACACCATGCAAGGTAATAATAGTAACGCTAAAATGTTGTTGGTTATTACACTTTTTCGGGATTGTAAAATTTCACCTAGTTTTTATAATACATGGCTTATTTTGAAATACTTAATTCTTTTTCAACCCGTTTTTTTTAAAGTAAATACTCGAAAAATGTAATGAGAGTCGTGATTTTTTGTGTAATTTTTTACATTCAATATTTTGCAGTAGTGATATCAAATTTAGTTTGTGGTGGGTTTTCATTGATGGGCTATCCTTTAAATATAATCATTGGAAATTCAGGGGACGCAAGTTCCAAACCATGTTATGTTCCAAACCTGACATTGAGTGTCAGATCTTGGCCAAATTACGGTTTTGAACTTTCGTCCCCTGAAACACCTTGTCCATTTTAAACAAGCAGTGCAGTGTGGGGACATACTGGGGGTGTGTTGGCCAAATAAAAATGTCATTAGTTAAAGTATTTTATTTAGGAAACCCCAGGAGCTGGTTGATATAAAGGGACTACGTACAGTGTCTCTTCCTCTGCTGGCTGGTGTAGAAAGGGTCAAACTACTCAACTCATTTAAGGTAAGTCATGTTTTTGAGTGAATTATGTTAATTTTAAAGGATTTGAACAAGAATGATCATTAAAATCTGAGGTTATGGAGTTGTTTGGAATGGGATTGAATGGTTTTGCTGGAATTAGAGAATATTTGGTGTAATAGTGTATGTACAGCTTATCCGATTTCTCAAAAATAATATCTCTCTATTTTATGCACTAACCCAACCGTTGGGTAAGACCTCGTTAATTGGTCAATCAAGTTTCAGCCAAAAAAATTTGGAAACTTTGTTTAGGAAAAAAAATTTAGATTAATGATACCGTTACAGGTGAGAACTCGAGCTCCGATGTCTGAGATCTGCACTAGGTTGGGACAAACAGATCACAGTGAGCAGGATTGGTTGGTTCTCAGCAAAGTTAAACCTCCTCCTCCTCACAAGGAATTCTTCCCACGTCCTCCGAAGCGCACTGACGGTAGCTACGTGTACGACCGTATACCAAGCTTGGCTCCTGAACCCGTTCCTGCCAGCAGGCATCAGATGCTCTACAAGAAGAGACCGTATGAGGAGAAACCTGTAGACACACCATCGTCTAAACCGGTTAGAACCGGAACCCAGACCAGAACCTACAGCGTAAATCAGGTTGCTCCTAAGGGTAAGTTTGCTACGATGGCCCGAGTATCCGGGGGGCAGAAAACCGTTATCAGTTGGCAGGATGCACCCGATGATCTCTTCTACAGAGCTTCAAAGGAAATAAAGAAGGTAGGAATAAGCAAAATAAAGTATTTTCAGTACTTCTCAAGATATCAATGATTTGATTTGACTACGCTTCCGATGCGCTAATTTTGGCAATTTTGCAATATTGTTCTGCTTTAGAATGTTGCTTCACCTACACCTTTGTAAATGTAAAACCCTTCCCTTGGGCTGGGCAGCAAGTAAATTCGCAAAACTTTAAGTCCTTTAAGTTTATTGGATACAAACAAACCAATTATATCAATTTATATACGTAAATAAAAATTTCTACTTGTTTCAGGTCCGCAAGCAGCTCTCTGTACCAAAGCTAAGGAAAGCTGCAAGGAAACCGTTCAGAAAAATATTATGAAAACCTGATCCTCTATGAGTATCTGTATAATGAACCGTGAACCACTGAACCTGGAAGAATCGTATAAATAACCACATACTTTCCATCGCACAAATTGATTTTAAGAAGTCTATTGTTTAAGGAATTCTTGACGAGCAGTATTATCTTGTTTTAGTTCTAATGAACTTTCTCAATATTTTTAGCTTTTGATTTATGATCTTAAATCCCACTTAAAGTTAAACTATTAACCATAATTTTATAATAAGATATAATTAGTAAGGCACCATCAACAATTTTAGTAAAACTGATATAGTGTTTTTTTATAGAATCAAGGTAAAGAAATCATTTTCTATTTTATTTTAGTTAAAGTTTGACAGAGCTGGGAACTTTTGAATGGTCGATATAGGGATTAATGCTTGATCCACTCTTTTTTTTAATCTCAAGATTAAATAATGCTTGTTCTCCTCTTGTTTTAATCTCCAGATTAATTAAACTATCGGGATTAATAATATCCCATTCTAAAGTTTTCAGCTCAGCAAGCATTTTTAACAATTTTCAAGGGGATTGTTCAGTGTTAACCTGTTTGAAAAATTTATAAAATGTTCCATAGTTTGGGATAATTACGGCCCTTGAGGATATCTTAGTAACTGTCGTAGTTCTGTCCTTTTTTTAAAATTTGATTATTGTGTTTCCATAATTTTAATCAGCTTAACAATTTCAAGTGATCCTCCGCCTGTCTGATTCACTATGGTACCCTTTATACCTCTATCCGAGTTTAAATCAGGAAAATATTATCATTTTTAGATCTTAAAACGTGTTGAGTTCTGACTTAAGTCATGTTTTAGAATACATTTCTAGAGATAAATAAAGGATATCTCATTCATCCTTGATAAAGTTTTAAAAGGTAATACTATTGTGCATCGGGATTTTCAGTTTAAAAATATTGGGTTACTTTAAATGACGTCCACACTCCACAGTCCCTTTTAAGAACTTTTTGTTTCTTGTTTCCGATGTACCGTCGAATACTTGTACCTTGTACCGTTCAATTAGTTGTAAAAGTTATTGCTGTACGTAATTATATTTCTTGCCAGTACTGTACATTACTTTAATCTATATTTCAGAAGTTCCAATGGTCATCATTATATTAAATCATATTTAATCTATCTCAGTTTAAAGTAGACAGGTATTACTTTATACTAGCTAATGTATTGTTTTCAGCTTGTTTTTGGTTTTCAAAAAAAATTAGTTGTAATGTTTTATCATTCTGAGATGAAATTGATCATGGTTTTCTTAGCCCTAACTCTTTGCAACCTGTTAGTGTAAGCCTTTGATATTTCAAGCTGTTTAATCCAGCAGTATTCATAGTTTAACCCTATTCCCGCTGGGGGGGGGGGTCAATTTGCCCCCCCCCCCTGTAGTTTTTTTTTTACATAACTCAAAAAGTATTGGTCTGAGGCTGTTGAAATTTTCTGACTTTTCTTACATACCCATAGACCTCCCTTTAGGCCTAAAACAGGGCTTTAATACTAACTGCCTGAGTCCTCAGGCACACTGCCTGAATGACTGCTTTTTCCTGTTACAAACTAAATCTTTGTTTTGACCCACTTTCACTTGTCAGATTTTGATAAAATTTAGCTTTTTGGAAAGCCTTTGACAAAAGGAAACAAATTGCACATGTTTTGCGAAAAAAAAATTGCAAATTTTTTTCAAACAACCTGTCAGAGGAAATTTGCACATTTTTAGTTTTTCTTGATTAAAAATCATGTTATTTAAAATTTTGCAAAAATTTTTGCATATTTGAAATGGCATGGTCAAGGGCTTTTCAAAAATGTATAATTTTTCATTTTTTTGACAAATTTTTTTTGCAAACATTTTTACTATAAAACTGGATTTTGCGATAAAAAATTCAATTTTTGCAAATTTGCAAATTTTTTTGCAGATTCTAAAAGTAGAGCACAAGAGCTTTCTAATGATGTATCATTTGTCATATTTGGACATCAAACATGGGATTTAGAGGGGGGGGGTCAAATTGACCCCCCCCCCCCAGCGTATCCTGGTTTTCAAGTACCCCAGCAGAGATAGGGTTAAAATATCAAATGTCTACGACATGGTTTGTAAAGAACTAAGAAGAATAAATAAATAAAATAAGGATTAAAAATCTGAGTTCACACATATATTAAAAAAGTTTAGAAAAATGCATAATGACATTAATGTTTAGGATGGCGGACGTAGACTGCATTACATTGGAGGACTCTGATGATGAACCAAAAATGCAACAAATTATTGTCAGGTTGGATTCAAACTATTTTCATGTTTCTAACATTTTTTCCGGATTTTGTTCCTATCCTGATGATATAATAATTATGTTTTGTTCAGCTTATCACGGTCATGGTTAACCTTAGCTAGGGTGGATGTAAATATAACCGTCATTGCAGTTTTTAAATATCGTCTTCGTTGTTGTCTCACAAATATTGCAACATGTTCAATGTTTGTTTAGGAAGGAAGATATGATACGTTGCAACATGTGCTTGGATCCAGGTCTACTGCCTGTTGAAGAGGATAGGCCTAGGCATAGACTCTCTGTTCATGCAAACAAATTATTCTTCTGTGATATATGTGAACCTCATGAGAAAGGTAATTACGTATAGAAAAGTCGGGGTCTGTCCTAGTGAACGATTTTTGGACCCCCCCCCACCAGGCCCCCGCCCACCCTCCTATCAATTTTGTACATGACCGTTCATTTTTCAGCAAATTTATTATTATTTTTTTTTTTGTTATTTAGGGTTTTGTTAGGTTAAGACACTTTCTGGGCCGAGCGCTGCGGCTAGGATGGGCTAGGGGGCCGAGCGCTGCGGCCACGGGTTAGGTTAGTTAAGACACTTTCTGGGCCGAGCGCTGCGGCTAGGATGGGCTAGGGGGCCGAGCGCTGCGGCCACGGGTTAGGTTAGTTAAGACACTTTCTGGGCCGAGCGCTACGGCCACGGGTTAGGTTAGGTTAAGACACTTTCTGGGCCGAGCGCTGCGGCTAGGATGGGCTAGGGGGCCGAGCGCTGCGGCCACGATGGGTTAGGGGGCCGAGCGCTGCGGCCACGGGTTAGGTTAAGTTAAGAAACTTCCTGTCACACCCATGTACAAAATTGATAGGAGGGGGGGGGGGCCTGGGGGACTTATGGCCGCAGCGCCCGACCCCCTAGCATTTCACCCGCGGCGCTCAACCCAGAAATTGTCTTAACCTAACCTAACCCTAAATAATATTAGATAAATACTTATTTTTCTTACATACCCATGTACAAAATTGATAGGAGGGGGGGGGGGCCTGGGGGGGGGGTCCAAAAATCGTTCTCCAGGAATATACCAAAAGTCGTGACAATTTTCGCTCCTTACCCAGGATGTTCTTTTATCTTTTTCTTTATCATCAAGTTAAAGTTCTGTGTATATTTTAAGCAGAATATTTGGAATTATATCTTAAGGACTGGTTACTACTTATTGAAAAATAAATTTCAAATCATGCGACTTAAACAGTTAAATTTTCGAATTTCAGTTGATTGCTATGATTTGACTAAACTCTATCTCATTCAATAATTCTCGACTTGTTCAGGTGCAAAAGGGTTCGAGGATTTCAAGGATGTTGTGAAGCATGTTTGCCACGAGAACGGGATCCTACCTGGAGACAAGAAGAACTTGCATGAGATGATCAGGATCCCGGGACAAAAGGACTTCCTCAAATTGTTCAAGTGTCTCTTCTGTCCGGGGGACGGAGTAAAGTTTGTCGGGATGAAGGAGGAATGTTTTCTGGAACATATTAGGAACCAGGTTGGTTTCTTTCAGTTAGATAAAAACCAAATGCGAGTGTGTGTTCAGCTTTTTTAAATATGTGCTTAATTTCAAGAGACCATTTACATAGTTGCTAGTTCGATTCACAACAGTACCCTAAAGAATAAGAACTAGAAGATAAATCAAAAAAGACCCTTGAAATGGAGTTTTGATGTATGCTTGAACTTACGTCTACAGTCCCTTTAAATCCACGTTAGTTTATAGTATACGGTATGTCTTATCTTTGCTTGCAATTTGAAATGCATGAACAATCATGTCAGGTTAAACAAACATTTAATAGTATATGTACTTTTACACATTAAAGAGATTTATGGAGAGAACAATTCACCAGGGGTATAATATACTTCCCCCCCCCCCCCCGGATAGCCCGAATTCGATTTAATTTAACACGTTTTTACTATTTTTAATACTTTAACCAAAAAACAATCGTTTATCATTCATAACAAAGTAGGGGTTGGGAGGGAATTGTATACCCCTGCAATTGATTTATATTTATTTTTAAAACTTGTCATTTCCTTTTCGTTTAGCACGGAGACAAGGCGCCTAGACGGAAACCGGAGAAATTGATTCGTGAGTGCCGGATCTGTTCCGTGGTCTGCAGTACGGATACGGAGCTGTCGGAGCACGTGACCACGCACATTAACCTTAGGGGTACTCATCCCTTTGCTGGGTTCGGACCCAGGGTTCATGATGATGGAGATAGTTTGAGTGAAGGAGAGTTAGTTAATTCTCAGGTTTGAAATATTATAATAGATAAATAGTTGGATAGATCCATAATAATAATTTAAATAATTAGAGAAATAATTAGATATTTAGTCTGTTACAAAGACGAATAGCTATGAATGCGAGATTAGATAAAAATTTGTTAGAATAAAGTTTGACAAGCTAAGATAATATGTAATGAGGGCATGAAAGGACGAGCTAAGATAATATGTATTTAGGACATGAAAGGTCGAGCTAAGATAATATGTAATGAGGGCATGAAAGGACGAGCTAAGATAATATGTATTTAGGACATAAAAGGACGAGCTAAGATAATATGTATTTAGGACATGAAAGGACGAGCTAAGATGATATGTATTTAGGACATGAAAACTCGAGAGTGGGAGAACAGAACAAATGAATTTATGGAATTACTGAAAAAACGAAAGAAGAGAGAACCCCCATCTTCCGAATCAGAACAGTCCGGTAGGAAACTGATGTTTGTTTCTTATCTCCTTGTTCTGAGGTTGAAACTTAGCATGGTTGATCTTTTCAGAAAGCAGTAATCCGTTTTCCATACATTTTGTAGTCCTGTCAGTTTAAGCTTATTCCTTTTTTCTTGTGTTTTTTTTTTAATTTATTTTTTTATCGATTTTGATGGCTATTACTTCGATAGAACATACCCAGGCGGAAATATATTTTTAAAGATTGTGGAAATAACATTTATTTAAAGTATTTACTTCGTTGTGGTTTGGATCAAAATCAAGCTCAAATTTTAAATTAAATTAAATTTTAACTAATCTCTGCTCTCATACCAGTGAATTATGTACTTCTAAATAACGAATTAAATATTGAAAATTGTAATATCAACTAAATAGAACTTTTCATATAGATAGTTCAATGGATCATGCGATGGAGCTGAAGCGGAAAAGAAAACATAGGAAATCCTCCCCGTTAGGTTCTCCGGTTAGGGGTAAATCTCAAGATAAGAAACGAAAGTATTCTCCTCCTAGATATCCATCTAAACATAGAACTCCTCCGCGGATCGCAGAATCAGGGAGGAAAAGCTTATCTAAAGATTTTGCCCGCTCTTTAGAAAAGGAACAGCGTGAAAGCTTTTATTCACCTCCACAAAATAAAAAATGGATCTGTCCCTTCTGCCCTACTGGAGTTAGGGACTTGGAAATCCATTTAGAGGATTTTCATCAAGCGCAGTGCTTCAAGTGCAAAAAATGTCCTGGCAAACTGTTCGTGTCCGTAGACAGAGCTATTGATCACTGTAAGTATGAACACGGAGATAAGAACCCTTTGGATTCAGGAAGGATTGTATTCCCGGAGCATCTAGAGAAGATCCTCTGCGTGTTCTGTGACCCCCCGGAAATATTTGTTGGGAAGAGTATTGATGGTTTACAAATAGATCTTTTCCATCATCTTGAGCTCCATGAGAAAATTCACAATGGGAGAGAGAGCATAATACAAGCAAAGGTATTATTGCTCTAAAAATCATTTTTGAATTTCCTAGAAATTATTTTTGAATTTTCAAAAATTTATCGTTAAGGTTTTATACTGTTGCCGAGTGTGCCCTGGTGAACGGTTTTCCGAGAATGATTTATTAAATCATGTTTATAAACATAATCTAGTTTATGATGCAGGACCAAAAGAGAAACTATCTGGTAAGTAAATTCATACAGATATTCAACAAAAAGAAACCTAACAAACATGTTTAACTTTTGGTAAAAAAAATTTTCAAAATAGGGGGAGGGTAAAAATGATATTTACGAAATTATACACCTCTTTTTAATGTGTTTAAGTTTGGTTGGTTGGATTGGGTTGAGTTCTGTGTTGTGTAGGTTGGGTTCTTTAAACTAAGCTGGGATGGACTGAAAAGAGTTTAAGAGTTGTATTGGGTTGGTCTGGATTATGGTTGAGAAGAGTTAAATCGGGTTGAATTTTTTTTTATGAAGTCATATTTAGGATCAATAGATTGGAGAGCTCTGAGTAGAGAACGGAGAGGTTATAGTAAAGAACGAAGAGGTCCAAGTAACGGCAGAAGAGAATTAAGTAAAGCACGAAGAGTTCCGAGTAAAGAACGAAGAGTTGTATCCCGAGAAGAAATATATAAAGGAGGATCTAAAGAACCTGTTAAGACAAGGAGTTCATCAAGGAGAGGTTTTCTTCCTGAGACTAATGTTCTACATAGATCACAGACTGTATCCAGACATGGACCCAGAGAAGCACGTTCACCTGTTCCTGCTCGACGTAGATCACGGGATATGAGTGAATACAGATCTCCTAAGAATGATCGAAAGAGATCGTATGACTCCAGTAGAGATAAAGCTCAAGTTCCAAAGCAAAAGCGACGCAGTGGAAGTTATGCTCACCGGTTTAGTCCTAGTCCTGAGAGAACAAATAAAGATTTTCATCGAAATATATCTTCAAATAGAGCTCTCAGTGAGAATTATCAAGCTCCCCTGGACGGTCGTCCGGATGAAATTTATTTTAAATGCAAGATATGCTTCATGACTTTTACAGATATAAAACCTTTCCCTGCAATGGATCATGTTCAGACTAAACATAAAAGCTCTCTCCCACGTAACTTTGAAGAGAAAGATCTCATGAAATTGATTGTTAATCCAAATTTGCTGATGAGCATGGCCTGTAAAATCTGTTCTAAAGAGTATTTGTCGAATGTGCAAACCTTAAAAGCTCCACTACGTGAGCACAGAGAAGTGCACAAGGACGTGAGTATATCTGTTAACGACATGGTCCAGCTGGAGTGTAGGCTGTGCGACAAGGTACTAACCAGTCTCAGCCGAGTTGATTCTATGACAGAGCACACCCAAACTCATATTGGACATAGAAAAATGGTAACAGGAAGAGAAGATAACAATAAATCTAAACACAGGGATACGCATAGAGATGAAGTAAAAGTGGAAGAGAAGCAGTATAATCCTATACTGAATATTAACCGTCATCTTGCAACGGGTAGGATGGAAAACAGAGAAAATGAAGAGAAGTCTCGGATACGGATTAAGGATAGACTTGGAACAAGACCTGATAGGAAGGAAGATGACAGTATGTCAAGATCATGGGGCAATATTGGAGATAGGTTTGGTGGAAGAGGCAGGTTTGATGGGAATGACCGATTCCAGAAGTTTCAAAGCAACTGGATTTGTTCTTCTTGTCGTTTTGACAACTTTGGACGGAACACCCGATGTAAAAAGTGTAATAAGCCGCCGTCAGCCTCAGGTTCTAATTCTGGTTTTACCAGCGCTGACACTAGCCAAAACAAGAGAACCCCTAGACCCGTTATAGTAGATCCTGCTGATGAAATCAGGCTTCAGATTGAGATGATGCAAAAGGAAGCGGCGGAGAAGTTTGAGACAGTTCGCTATATCATTTCATATCTGCTAGATTGCGTCCAAGACTATTCAAGAACCATGGAGGAGAAGGAGAAGAAAGGGAAGGAGGTTGAATCTTTCCTAAGAAATATTAGGTTAGACATGGAGCCCCCGGCCTCCATGGAGCTTGAAAAGCCCGAAAATGTATCCGGAGTTTCTGAGGATTTAGCTCTAAGTAGTCCTGAGTATGTTCCAGAAAGTTCTGACGAGGAAGAAGATATCCAGGGGCAGACGTCGAATCTTGTAGGAGACCAGAATGATCTTCAGGAACCAGAGCAAACTACTAAACTAGAGGATAATACAGAACCAGAGCATAATACATCACCAGAGCTGAGCACTGAACTAGATCACAGTAATGAACTAGTTCATAGTACTGAACTAGAGAAAAACACGGAACAAGTTCAAAGTACGGAGTTAGAGAAAAGTACGGAACTAGAGCATGAAACCGAAAAGCTTGTTCAGAAAGACACCTATCTCAATTTAAAGGACTTAAGTCAGACTTCAATGGAATCAAGTGAGCAACAGGAGTCTAGTCCAACTAAAAAGGAACCCAGTCCATCTGATCAGGAAACTAGTCAATTAGAGCAGGAACCTAGTTCATCTGAGCAGAAACTCAGGCAATTCGAGCAGGAACCTAGTCCACATAAACAGGAACATGGTATTGGTCCATCTGAACAGGAACCTAATCAATATGAGCAGGAACATATTCCATCTAATCATGAACCCAGTCCACACGAGCAGGAACATAGTCCTAGTTCATCAGACCCTTCGTTGGAACCTACTCATCCTCTTCAGGAGCATACTCTTACTCTTCCTGATCCCTTTCCAAGTGTGCATGAACCTACTGAGGTTAAAGATGATGATATAAAAATCAATGAATATATTGATGAGAACCCTGAGTCTCCTATAAAGGTTGAATCTGTGAAACATCTCAAAGAATTGATGGAGCAGGTTTGAAAGTATATGTTTTTAATGTTAAAATTGTAATTTTTTGTTTTTGTTCTAAATTCATCAATTTTAATGTATCTATGGCCTTATGTTTTGTTTTTTAATGGCTCATCTTTAGTACTAAACTTATACATATGTGAGCTTAACATAATTTTTATTTTGTATTTCTTTCATAACGTTAAAAACTAATTTTTAAGAATGATTGATCAATCTTAGGGTATTAGTATTTGGTATTAAAAAGTTGAACAATTATCTAGCTAAGTTATTAGCTTTCGCACCTGAAGTCCATTATTTACTTTACACTAGAACGGCTAGCTTCTCAACTTCAAGTGTCAGAAATGAAGAGAACCTTTTGATCATCTGACACAAATTTTGAGAAAACATTTATTCTTTAAAATTGTGTAATGAAAACAAAATTGAAATAAAAAATTAAAATTGCCTGCAAAAGGTCTTAAAATTACGAAAAAACATTAATCCAATTATGGCTTTTCAGGCATTTCAAACCCCAAAAATATTAAATTCACATGAATTGATATTAGAAATTGAACATGTTTTCATTCTCATCATTATTTGTTCACTATTCAGTATTTTTTGTTTGTTTTTGATCAAACAAGCACACAAATTCATTACTTTATTTCAATTAATTCAATTGATTTAATTAATTTAATACTGGAGTTTCCGCACTGAGAGAATAAATCCAGAATTTGATTTACCGTATTTACCGTCGCAATTGGCGCGAATTGATTAATGTTCACCTGTACGTACAATTTTACTGTATAGGACAAAACTGGAGAGAAGAGATATTTTATTCCCCCCGAGTTATCCAAGACCCAGGAGTATCTTGAGTTCCTGCAGGACCGCAAGGATACCTGGGAGGAACATGATGCTATACAGAATACCGAGGATTCAAAACCGGAGTAGGGTTGACCCCCTTTATGTATTCCCGGACTTTAGGTCAACAATATGATCTTATTGTCATATCATATTGTTTTTTCCTATCCTGTCTTCCATGACTGGTTCTGATCTAAAAGATGTTGTTAATGATTTCACACTGATTACTGACTTAATTATCAAAATTCATCTAGTGTACGTTTTAAATAAAGAATATTTTTTTAAGAAACAAATGAAATTTTAAGTGGATTACTATTTAACAAGTAAATATGATAATATGCATGGACTATTTTAAAATATCTGGCAAAAATTTGACAACCATGAAATTTCTTCGTGATTTGTATTGGAAAAATTAAAAATGTGATCACAACCATAGTTTATTGATATATCCCTGTTATTTCTCTTGGAAAGAATTTGAAATGAATCTTGTTATTTTTATACTTTCAGAAACCAGGACCCTTCGGTTCAATCCTGGCTCCGATCAATAAACCAGAATGGCCGGAGGTTCAAACCTTCGAGCCCAATATGGCGGAGTTCTCCAACCTGATGAACCTGCTCCTATACATGGAGAAGCAAGGAGCTCACAAGGCGGGAATAGCCAAGATCTGTCCTCCCAAGGAATGGGTTGCTAGGGCTCGAGGTTATCAACCCTATGATATTGATTTAGAAATACCTGCTCCGATCCTACAAACCATTGCCCCGACCCATAATCCAGGAGCATTTCAAGCAAATCATTCAAATCTTCCTAAACTAAAAGTAGAAGATTTTAGGTAAACTTGAATTAGTTGTTACTATTAAATCTATTTTTTTCCTTTTATTCTGTAAATCTGCGCATTGCTTAGGCTTTTCTTAATTTTTACGGAATGATGGTTATTTTTTTGCTGAAATATCTATCTATCTTTATTCCAGGAAACTAGCGACTAAACCCTGCTACGTGACTCCGGCGCATGAGACCTATGATGACCTGGAGACTATGTACTGGGATGAACTTGTCAATGATAAATCTGATCCTCCGATATATGGAGCTGATGTCTGCCAATCCATCACAGATCCGGTAACTATACTTTTTTTATCTCATGTTGACCAACATTCCGACCCATGATTCCCCAACAGAGGGACGAAGTGTTCGTAAAAAAAAACTTACATTTTCCTCTAATAAAAATGTGTGTACGTACAACTACTACTTCGGGAAATTAAAAATTATTCTTAATCACAGGTTCTCTCGACAAATTTTGCCTACTAAACATCCCTCACTACGCTCTGACACTAATACTCATGAGAATTACGTGACAACTTTCATATCGTATATTTCTTGTCGCTACATTTTTTCATTGCCACTGGTATTCCAATTGAAAAGAATTACAATGAAAATTATTATTTTCGGGATTTCACAAAAATGGCTTGCCATTATTGCACCTTAAAGATTGGAAGACATTAAAAAATTTGTTTAGATTTCAATTAAATAAAATAAATTTAAAATTAATATATTCAATAATTTGTAATACAAAAGTACTATGGGGATTCAAAGCAATCAAGTTGTCTCTGAAATCCTTTGTTTTTTGGGACACCCTGTATTTTCTGCGGATTGGTTTCATGTCTTGATATTTTCTAGGACCAGAAGATCTGGAATATAAACCGTCTTGATTCAATACTTACAGAGGAAATGGAGGAACAAATTCCAGGCAAGAACATTTCTATTATATTTGATTTATTGTCTTTATTCAATGATATTTGATTATGATAGATTGCAACAGTTGAAATTTATGATACATTTGCATAATATGCATAGAGAATGGATTAGTATAGAGAGGAATTAACTTATAAAACCGCCATTTTGTTGTACTGTTTCCATACTGCATGTGTACTTTACACATTTTTGCTATAAAACCTTTTGAGCCCTGGGACATCTGTTTATAGAAAAAAGTTTTCTTAATTTTCCGTAAATCAATTCTCTGACAACCTGTCATGTATTCCTGAGTTCATTTCAGCATAAGCCTCGTTAAAAATTTATTTGATGTTTTTTTACTAGCTGAAAGGCCCGGCGTTGCCCGTGGAAAAAAAAAGATTTCGAATTTTATTCAGTTGTTTATCATTTAAGGGTTGGTGAGATTTTAGATAAAGGAAATGCTTTGGTAAAATATGAAAGTAAATACGCAAAGGGTCAAGAAAATTGTCAACTACTTTTTATTGGGGAAAAAGACCCCTTTGAAGATGGGGGCAAGATCATTTTTTACGCACCATACCTGACTTTAACCTTTGCCCATAATTCCCGAGGGGGGGGGGGGCAAGAGGACTACTGCCACCCCCTCTGTATACGCGCCTGGGTATTCCTAAAGATTCAGTTTTAGCGTCAAGTTTTTAGCCTGAAGCGTTTTTCTTGAGCTTTTATTGGAATTTTTCTTTTTGATGCCATTTTCCTTGTAATAAAGATAACTCATGGCTATTCGTGGTGAAAGCAAAAATTTTAATATTTCATCTATTAATGGTTTCTAGTCTTTAACTCTAATCTCAACATAATATTATTTTTCTAAGATTCTTCTAGTTAAAAAGGCATTTTTTGTCTTTATGCAAAGCTTTAGAATAGATCGCAAGGGAAATAAAAAAATATCTATCTTAATTGCCTGATTTGACAAAAGGCAGCATATTGCATAAATCATGAAAAAAAGTTTTGCATTTTTTGCGGATGTTTTGCTGTAAGATTGGATTTTAAAGAAAATAATATTTTAATATTTTCAAATCTTCTATTTTTTTCTTCACTGGTTCAACCTTGCTCGATATCTGAGTAACAATGAGGGAGATATCATCATTTTAATAATAAAATAGAAAACTATGCATGAATCTGAATATCTTCTTACTAAAGCTGATATTTTATAAACAACCATGGGGTTTTAAGTTGTGCAACCCCAAATGCCCCCTTATCGTTTTGTCTAATTATTTAAAATAGGAAAATAATTTGAAACGAGATATTAATAGCAGTATACAAATGAGTTTAAAGCAAAAAAGATTCAATTCTGCAGTCAGCACGTATTCACTTTACAAACGACGATTTTAACGTTTTAATGTTTAATACAAAAGTAATTTAGATTCATCTATAGCTAATACACACGTTGAAAGTTATTAAACAACTTTACAAAACAAAGAAATTATAACGGATATGTCCAGGGATTTTACTATATTAGTGTGATGTACTGTGTATAATTTGTGAACATGTACATGAATTGTACACTTTGAACTCCTTTTCATGCTCAAAGGGACTGACAAAGTTCATACAGAGGGATTGTTTAAATTCCTTTCTATTTTTATCTCTGTTCTGTGATTATATTAGTAAACAGTTGCAAATTTTGTTTAAAATTTGTTTAAAAAAAGGTGATAGAATATTTTTTAGATGCAATTTATTGATAAAAGGTGTAAGCAGTTGAAATTTTTGACCTAAACAACGTTTTTGAACATTTACCCAATGATAATTGATAATGATTGGTTGCAACAGTTGCAATTTTTCGTTTAAAAGAAGGTTTTGAAACATTGTTTTATGATAATTTGTATAAACAGTTGCAATGTTTGTCTAAAAAATGTTAAAATATTTTTTATATGCAATTTATTGATGATAGGTGTCAACATGCCGTATCTGTACTTTGGGATGTGGCGCGCCACCTTTAGTTGGCATGTTGAAGATATGGATCTATACGGAGTTAACTTCCTTCACTACGGTGCTCCTAAAACCTGGTATTGTGTCCCCCCTCAGTATGCGTATAAACTCGAAACTGCTGCAACAGAACTGTTTCCCGGGATGGCTAAGGCGTGTCCTAATCTCCTCCGACATAAAGCTGTAATGCTGGCTCCCGAACTATTGGAAGAATACGGCGTCAGGGTAAGGAAATTTTATGATCAGATTCAATGAAAGTAAATGTTGAAATCAGAATTTTAATTTGGGTTCAATTGCACTTATCGTGAAAACGTACAATTTAGTGCGTCCAAAAAGTGTGTCTGCTTTAGTCTCCATCACTTTTGTCAGCTGATGGAGCCCCTGTTTCTAGTATTAAATCCTAAATTCATGTGAACCTCCACGCAAAGATGCCAATGCCCAATTCGCAACTGTACCCTTGAAACCTTTATCTAATTAAGAATGTGGAAGATCACGTCGTTTTTCTGACTGAAAAAAGTGTTTATTTCTGTGAGTTTATCCGTTGCGTAAATGCGCAAGTTTCTAGGAGAGAACCCAAAAATTAAAATAAACAGTTAAATCAAACAAAACATTAATATCTAGTTGATCAGATAAAGCTTTTGAGTATTAAGGGTACCGTTGTGAATTGGAAATTGCAATCTTTGCATTTAGGATCACATGAAATTACGCTTACAGGTCTTAAAGGCTTTGTCTAAATATTTGTTTCTAGGTGCACAAGGTTGTACAGGAGGAGGGGGATATGATCATAGTGTTCCCTCACGCCTACCACAGCGGGTTCAACCACGGTTTCAACATGGCTGAATCCACAAACTTCGCTCTTCCCAGATGGATCGAATACGCTAAACGGTTTCGAGGCTGTCTATGTGGGGACAAAGATAACGAGGTTGCTTTCAAACTAGATCCCTTCATTAAGAAATACCAACCTGACAGATACATGTCCTGGAGTAACGGAGAGGATTTTGATCTGCATCCTGAAGATCCAGAATTCCTGAGAAAAGCGTACCATGATGCAAAGCTAAGACTAAGTCCTGGAGACTTGAATAAATTTAAAGCTCACGTGAAAGCTCGGAGAGAAATACCAGACTGGTTTCTCAAATCCTCCCCACCAGAGAGTTACAAAGATAAAATAGATCTCTTCAGATATTATGATCTCTCTGCGTTTGTGGAGGATTGGACGGAGAAGAAAACATGGAGTCCGAGGCACCGAGCTGCTCTGAGAAACCTCCTGGAGAATCCGGAGTCCTGTAAAGTCAAAGTCAAACCTTTAGGTAACAAAGTTTTTTTTTGTTCAAACAGCAGAAACAAAATAAGAGCTATAGTTTTATTCGAAATCCCCCATCTTTTATGATTCGGGGGGTGATTTAAGAGAAATTATAGAAAATTCATTTAACTTGACTGTTTATTAAGATTTTAACAACTTTTTCAAATAATAACTGTATTTTTTTCAGCTAAGATTCAAGTATTTAGCTACATGAGAAAGCTGAAGAGACAGATAAAGTACGAAACCAAAATTAAAGCCGAACAAGCAAGTTTAGCCCCGCAGCAGTCTGTCTTCGTGAGCAACGGATTCCGCGGGGCTAACATATCTGATATGTTATCCAAGAAAGCGCAAACAATATGCGAAAAGAACCATAGATTCGCTGCCTGTAAGAAGTGTACAGGGTGTCGAACACCCAACTGTGGAGTATGTACAAGCTGCTCCGATATGCCTGCCTTTGGCGGCCCTGGGACGTCTAAGCAGAAGTGTATGAAGAGGGTTTGTATAAATCCTCGGATGCATTCCTGTGACAAGTGTCAGTGGAATACTGCAGCACTCAGTATCTAGGATTTATCATCTGATGCAGTCCTGTGACAAGTGTCAGTGGAATACTGCAGCACTCTGTATCTAGTATTTATCATCTGATGCAGTCCTGTGGCAAGTATCAGTGGAATACTGCAGCACTCTTTATCTAGTATTTATCATCTGATCATCTAGTAAGAAATCACTAACAACACTAGCAGTAATTATTCAAGTTAAATTCAGTAATCTCAATGATTTGTTATCAAGCCTTGTATTTATGTTTGGTGTTTAGAACTGTTTTGTTATGTCAAGTCGTTAGTTATAAAACCAACTATAAAATCTATTATTATTGTAAAGACTGATTTGTAATTAATAATTATCTTTCGATCAGATTAAACTAACTTAGTTAGTTCAATCTGTTTTATTTCTGAATACAAGGATGCATTAATGATTTTATTTGTTTCAGAAAGTTATGTGTATTTTGTTAATATTTGCATAATGGGAAACCATCTTGTATCTCTTGCTCCTTCACAGATATATCCAGTAGAACACTACATACAGGATATCCAGGTATAGATATATCCAGTAGAACACTACATAAAGGATATCCAGGTATAGATATATCTAGTAGAATATTACATACAGGATATCCAGGTATAGATATATTCAGTAGAACACTACATACAGGATATCAAGGTATAGATATATTCAGTAGAACACTACATACTGGATATGAAGATATAGATATATCTAGTAGAATATTACTACAGGATATCCAGGTATAGATATATTCAGTAGAATATTACATACAGGATATCCAGGTATAGATATATTCAGTAGAACACTACATACAGGATATCCAGGTATAGATATATCCAGTAGAACACTACATACAGGATACCCAGGTATAGATATATCCAGTAGAACACTACATACAGGATATCCAGGTATAGATATATCCAGTAGAACACTACATACAGGATATCCAGGTATAGATATATCTAGTAGAATATTACATACAGGATATCCAGGTATAGATATATTCATTAGAACACTACATACAGGATATCCAGGTCTAGATATATTCAGTAGAACACTATATACAGGATATCCAGGTATAGATATATCCAGTAGAACACTATTATATCCAGTTATTGATGTATTCAGTATAATACAGTACATAGTGCGTATAGTATATAATTCTCGTTTTTATTGATACTTTTGAATAAATATTTGTTTAGAATGATGCCGAGTTTGAGTCTAACCTCGGAGCTACCAGGTTCTTTAAGGTTGCTAAGTGTAGAGCTGCGGGAGGGAATGTCGTGGTTAAGGTTCGACAATTTCTCTCATTTGCTTTTTTTTATATTTCTGCAGTAGATGCGAATAAGATAGCATTTAATGTAGTGTTATCGTAGAAGTAAAATATTTCATGTTCTTTCTTTCGTAAAAAAACTCTTCTAATTTTAGGTTTTTGTGATCCATGATCCTAGTTTACCAATGCGAGCTTATGAGGAGAAACTAAATGAACTGAAACGAATACTGAATCCAACCTTTAATTGTCTTCCCTATACTAGGTAAGTAAGCAAGAGTAAAGTAGTAATGGGTGTTTGTCTGTTTGTTTGTTCAGATGTCCAGTCATTAGTCCCAAGCTAAATTATATATATATATTTAAAGAATTTTAACATTATGTTTAGTATAATTCTTTTTTAATAAAAAATGTGAAGTTTTTAGCTGCAACTATTATAAAGAATTTATTTTGTTGATTGATATTTTTGTCCTTGGAGGAAGGGGTGGGGGGGTTGGAACAAAGTTACTAGATTTAAGTATTATTTCAGGATTACTTTGAATGAAAAGGCAGGATTTATTACTCGAGTTTTTGTCAAGTACACAGTTTACGACAGGTATACTTTCATAAAAATGTCAAATTTATAATTTGATAGTTTTCTATTTTTATTTTCTAATTGTTTTTAGGTTGAGTACTCGTCCTTTCCTGACTAATATTGAGAAGAAATGGATTGCATTTCAACTTATGTCAGCTGTTGATCAGGTAGGACACTCTATCTTTACATATACAGGGAGGAGACTAAATTTATGCAAATTTACCGTTAGAACTTTGTGATCTCGTAGATCCCCTTTGTTCATATTAACCGCAAATATGTTTGGCTGAATATTAGAAATTATAAACTTCTTAAACATTTATGTTACAATTGAAAACTCGCAAGTTTTCAATTTAACATATTGAATTGACGTAAGGAATAAAAGCATTTTGATATGTGTATAAACTGTTATTACTCGTTCAATGAAGTAGGGGTTGGGTTGTAATTGATTACGATCCCTATTTTTTATCGTCTTATCATGCTTAAATTTGACCTGTGCTTTGAAAATTATATTCTTTTTTTTTAAAGTAAAAAATCTGTATTCTTATTTTAAAGATTTGTCTTTATTTAGGCTCATGGATTAGGAGTTTGTCATGGAGATATAAAACTAGAGAATATAATGCTCAGTTCATGGAATTGGCTTCTTCTCACAGATTTTGCTCCGTTCAAACCCATCTTCTTACCGGAGGATAATCCGGCAGATTATTCATATTTCTTCGATACTTCCAGGTAATATATAATCATTTATATATACTTTGCTTTTCAGGCAACTCACATCACATGACCCCAGAAGAGGTCTATGGCTGGTCGAAGTTGAAGAATATTGTCCGGAAAAAAAATGTCAAAATTTATTATTTTTGAAAGTGCACCAATTTAAACTGAAAAATCCTTGAAAATAAGAACAATAAAACTAGTTTTCATTCTATCTGATGGTTCTGTAAAGTAGCTGACATATTTTGAGACAGTTTGTCCAATGTCAGTCGGTTTTACCACTTAGTGGCCGTTTTTTTTTGGTCTGTTGAGAAAATATTACCTATAGTTTTATCATATTTCAAAAGAAGGATGCTTCAAGCTGTACAATATGATTTGATTTGATTTGATTTGATTTCACTCTATTCCATCTATTCGCTAACACTAACCTTTCTGGTTCAAAGTATTTATTAGAAATTATGATTAATTTGCTGTTAAGGCGGCGAACCTGTTATATTGCTCCGGAACGGTTTAAGAGTAGAACCTTGAGTCTGGATCCAAGCACCAGTCTTTGGTCGAGCACTACACACCTGGGATCCCAGACAGGGGTAATATACACGTTGGGTTCCAGATTTAAACTTGATTTGATTTGATATAGTCATAGATTTTCAATCAGCGACACTTCTTTGGCTATTAGTTTTTCAAATTCTAATTTTCATTTATTTTCTGAAAGTTAATCTGCATTTGATTTTTGTTCTAGTTTCTACCTGATGATGTGGAAGATTTTAAGAGAGGAGAGTTAACCCCTGCCATGGATGTGTTCAGTCTGGGATGCGTCCTAGCGGAGCTATTTACCGACGGAGCTCAACCCTTCGACTTTTCTCAGCTCCTCGCTTACAGGTTTTGATGTAGTTCATTTTATCCCTTTAAATTCATCTTTTTTAATCCATCTTAACACGATCTATTCTTCTTGAATACTTCCTTACTTATCCCATCCTTACTCATATCATCCTTACTTATCCCATCCTTACTCATATCATCCTTACTCATATCATCCTTACACATTCCATCCTTACTCATCCCATATTTACTCATTCCATCCTTACTTATCCCATCCTTACTCATTCCATCCTTACTCATATCATCCTTACTTATCCCATCCTTACTAATATCATCCTTATTCATTCCATCCTTACTCATTCCATACTTACTCATTCCATCTTTACTCATTCAATCCTTACTCATTCAATCCTTACTCATTCAATCCTTACTCATTCTATCCTTACTCATATCATCCTTACGCATTCCATCCTTGCTCATTCCATCCTTGCTCGACCAAGTCTTACTCAATCCATCCTTACTCATTCCATCCGTTTTCAATCTTTCCTTACTTAATTCCTACCTACTCAATCCCTGCCTACTCAAGCTATCTTTAGCCAATCAGTCCTTTCTCAATCCGTACACTCTCCATCCTTGCTCTATCCATCCTACTATCCTTTATCAATCCATCCGTACACTATCCATCCTTGCTCTATCCATCCTACTATCATTAATCAATCCATCCGTACACTATCCATCCTACTATCCTTAATCAATCCATCCTTGTTCTATCCATCATACTATCCTTAATCAATCGACTCTACTCATCTGTTCTCAATCCATCAATCTAGATTTTAAAAATCCGTCCTTCCTCAGTTCATTCTTTCTCTGGTCGGATCCTCGATAAGATTAAAACAAAGAAATTGAGTCTTAGTCATAAACTCTAATTTTCTAATCCCTATAACTTTGTAACCCTTAGATTTATCAAATTATTTATTCTGTTAGATTAGATAATCTAAGTTGAAATGTGAACGGTTTACACCATCAGGTTGCAAAAATATTGGGATTAGAAATCAGAGTTTTTGGCAAAGACTCAATTCCTTCATGTTATCCGTTTATTAAGAGCTGGAGAATACTCACCGGAGAAAGTAGTTTCTAAGATTGAGGATGAAAGAATCCGAACTATGGTTGAGAACATGATATCCCTGGATCCGTCCTCCCGTCTCTCCGTATCTGAATATCTGGCAGCTCAACGCGGAGAAGGATTCCCGGAATATTTCTTCTCTTTCCTTCAATCCTACATGAGGTAGAATTGGTTAGAAAAGAGATTAAACAAAAAAAGACTATCTGATTCACAACGGTATCCTGTACGCCTCTATCTAAAAAAAGAGAGATATAGTTGTTTTAACACTTGAAACGTGTCCAATTTCTTGAATTTTAAAAGTCAATATCATAAAAAGTTGCCCTCTGCTCTCAAATTTAAGATTTGGCTTAAAAAAAACAGCAATTCGTTCTTAATGTTCTTAAATGTATGCGTACACCTCTGAAATAACTTTCCTTGCATTATAACCTTGTATCTCATGTTCCCGACTCCAGAAATTAACTTTCGGGGGGGGGGGGGGAATTCTTACATTTTTCAAAAGTTCTTTAAAAAATTCACCTGAACATTCTATTTTTGACTTTTCCATCGAATGTCTTGCAAAACCTTCAAAAATATAATTTTTTACATTGGAGAATCTATGATCATAGAGAAACTACAATTAGAAATTATCAGTTTTCAGGTTAAAAAAATAAAGATATCTGATCCATCCTTGATCAGCTAAATGTTTAATGGGTACTACTGTGAATGAAAGGAATTGTAAAGCAGAGATTTAACTTTTACAAGTTGAATCAGAAAAGATGAGAAAGCAAGGTCAATGAGTAGCTATGAAACCTGTAAAATGTTGGCTTTGCGGGGATGTCACAAAAAAAACTTTCTTTTTCAAAATCAGCCAACATATGGTCATGATGCAAAACAAGAACAAAAATGGATTTTTTTTTTAAATATAGATATCAAAAACCGGAAGCTGCAATTATATGATTATTTATACGATTTTGAAATAAAATTTGTTGAAACAATTATCAAAAATAAATGTTAAAATAACTTTTACCAATTGTAAAACCAAGCTTAGTATAATCATTTCGATTCTTATGGCATAGTACGCCCCCAAGAGTCTAATCTGAAAAGTTAATCGAATAATCGAATTTTATTTAAATAATTCAAAAACTTAGAATAAAAAATTTAGAATGTTCTCGCATTCACCGTTGATGTCGTCTGATCAGAAGATCTCTAGGATATACAGAGACTTGGATAAATTAAACTCACTACTAGACTGTGATAATAGTGATAGGTTAGTTTAATTAGTGTAAAAGTAACCTAGAGGAAATTTTCCCGAGTCTACGGTTCTTGGTTCCCAAAAACTTGAATATATTAAGATTTTTTAAATCTCAATCATTTTAATCAATACTTAATTTGTTATTGTTAGTGTTAGAATTAGTATTAGTATTATTTTTATTGTTTTTGTTATTGTTATTGATTTTATTGTTAGTGTTTTATAATGTTATTGATATTGTTATTGTTTTTGTCTTGTTTTTTGTTTTGTTTCTGTTGGTATTGGTAATTTTTTTTGTTTCGGTTTTGGTTTTATGAAATAATGAGAAAAATATTTAGGATAGATAATGATTGTTTATTGCTTCTCACAGCTCTAGTGACTGCTTCAATTAGGTAAATTTTGTTTTTAATCTGACGTGGGACTTAAATATCAATCTAGGGTACTTTAAAAAAAAAATCGAAATCTTGAAATTCAAAAGGCTCTAAACGGAACGAAGTTCCTTAGGGTTCCAGGAGGCTTTAAACAAAAATTCAAAAAAATCCTAAAATATTTCACGTCTTCTCCTAGCCCTTGAAAGTTTTTGGAGTTACGCATTCGAGGTTGTATGATAATTTTTGACGAATTTGCCTTTTTTGTGATTACATTTCATTACAGTGAAGATATATTAATATTTTTATTTACTAAAATTATTCTTAAATGCTTATAAACCAATCAAAATTCATGATTATTTATTTTTCTTATTTGCATAGAAAAAATCGAATTTCATTCAAATATTTCAGAAAACTTTCAAGTTTAAAGATTAAGTTTCATCCAAATTAAAGACAATTTTCTATGTTGATTGTTCAACAAGGACTCTTTAACTTTTGTAAAAGATGTCTTGGTAAGGAATTGAACCTTCAATCCATTACTGGAGTCCATTGTCATCCCCGCCCTTTGTGATTTGATTTGATTTGATTTGAAGGGGAAATTTTTTCTTTTTCTTTTTAATAAATCTTTAAGTCCCAAATATAAAGACAAAAACTCACGATCTATAATTTCTATCCTGGGATTAAATTTAGTTAATAGGGGGAAGTTGATCTACTAGACTAAGTTGAACCTCTCCTCTTGAACTTGAGTCGGCGCACAAAAGAAGGGGTTGAATTTAGTCTACATAGTTAAGCTATTTCTTGCTATTCATTATATTTGGTCCCTGAACAAGGTTTTCTCTTTGTTCTAGAACACCATTGGTTCAACTAAGATTTTTACTTATATATTGAAAAATAAATTCAATTATTATATCATATTTTTCCCCTACCATTTAAGAATATTTTTTTTTAAACAAAAATATTTATTTATCTTTACTCATGTAATGAATTATATTGATTAATAGGGTAAAATTCGTCAAAATTAGCACGCAACCTCGTACGCGTAGTTGCAATAATTTCAAAAGTAAGGATAAGACGTGAAATAAAATTGAATTGAATTGAATTGAATTGAATTGAATTGAATCGAATCGAATCGAATCGAATCGAATCGAATCGAATCGAATCGAATCGAATCGAATCGAATCGAATCGAATCGAATCGAATCGAATCGAATTGAATTGAATTGAATTGAATTGAATTGAATTGAATTGAATTGAATCGAATCGAAATGAATAAAATTGAATCGAATCGAAATGAATCAAATTAAATCGAATTCAATTTAATTGAATAAGCTCAATTTTTTTATTTACTCGAACTAATTTTTATCTTAAATATCACTGAAAAAATAAACTAATATTTAATATTTTTATTTTAAAATACTCTCTTTTTTATAAATATTTGGAATGTTTTTAACTAAGAAAAATTACCTTTTATTGAGAAAAAGTACATTCATTTTACCATTATTTCCCTTCTGAAAGGACACAAAGAAATCAAAATCTATAGCGAGGAGAATATTTTTAATTGTTGTTAATTTTAATCCTAAGAACTAATTTTTAAAATGCCAAAGAAGGTTTATTTTAATTTTAAAATCAAACATTTGTATTTTTTTTAGAGACCTGAAACTTACAATATATCAACTTCAGAGCATTAAGGTAAACTTCACAAAAGATGAACTGATTTCTTACCTCCAACTCTAATTATCTAAACATCCCTGAAACTTGTAAATCTATGATATTTCAATCAGATTTCATTGTTTTAAATATCAATGGTCTACGACATCAGGTTTATTAATTAAGAGATATAGGATCACAAAATTAGAGTTTGAGATAAGTATTATTTTTATTCTCTGAAAACTATACTTCAGTGAGAACCAGAAAACTGGAATAGGAGAAGACGAAATTAAAGCAATTTTAATTGTATTTGATGTGGTTAAAAAGCAAAAAGGTTTCTTGTAACTTTTAAAATCACTTATTTAGTAAAATGGTGCAGTTTAAAGGGACTGTAAAGGAAAAATGAAAGGGGGTATAGGCTGAAAGCAAATCACTTTAGCTCTTGATCGCGACCCATGAAAGGTATATCTTATGTTCCTTCTCGAGAAATTGATAAAAAAAACTGTGTTAAAATTATACGAAAATTCATATATGTAAAATTTTGAAACTCTGAAACTTAAATCACGTGACCAGAACTATCACCAATGGCAGAGCAGTATACTTGTCACGTGTCTCCACCTGTATTACGTGACCACTTTACTGCACTGCCATTGGTGGAATTTCTGGTCAAGTAATGCGGACTTATAAATAATATTATGAATTAAATCTATTAAAAATAGAAATAACAAATATAAAATTAGAATTGGAGTAAACGTAAGTTACAATTAGCTTTCTCTGGGATATCATCGTTTTCAGATTGGTTGCTTTCTTGCTGAATTTGATCTGTCTAAACCCACTACTTTTATACAAAATTGTATATATATTAATTTTCGTATAAATTTGACAAAGTTGTATATCAATTTCTCGAGATAGGAACATCAGATATAACTTTCATGGGTCGCGATCGAGAGCTAAAGTGATTAGCTTTCAGCCTATACCCCCTTTCATTTTTCCTTTACAGTCCCTTTAAACTGCACCATTGTCATGTCTCCATGTTCATTTCACTTTCACTAATTAAAGTCATAACTTCATAAAATAGCTCGTGTTAAAATATTGTAAATTATGTACGCCGGCACTAATTAAAGTCATAACTTCATAAAATAGCTCGAGTTAAAATATTGTGAATTATGTACGCCGGAAAAATAAACTTATTATTATTATTAATTCAAGTTCAAAAGTTGTCTTCCTTTACCATAGTTTTCTGGATATCACTGTATCATCCATACGTTGGATTTTTCTAATATTTTTAAATGTTTTAGATTCTATGTTGGTTGGTTGAGCGGTTACCTAGTGATATTATCCTGGACCGTATCCTCCCCTTCATCATCTTTTATCTGTCTAGTTCGGTTCCTTCAGTTCGTAGAGCTGGGATTGAAGCTCTAGTCTTCTCCTGTACTCAGGTTACTTAGAACTATTGATGTGGATTAAGTTGGTTCGTTTTTCCCATTATTTTCTTTCAGGCTTAGTGTAAGCTAATCAAATGTTTATTTTAGATATTTGCTTTTCTGAAATTATGCCAAATTTTGTCCCTGGCATAACATAAATGCTTAAAACAACCAAGGTTAATTAAATAAGAAAAGTTTTTAATAACGACCCAAAGCGATTAACATCACTACAAGGGACTCATTTCATTTCGATCTGTGTCCAGTTCCGTCATGCAAAAAAGATCGAATAGGATTTTGCTCATGAATATTTCTGCTGAGGAACTAAGTTTTTATCACAAACTAAAATTTTCTAATCTCTGTATCTTTGCAATCCAATGTTGTGGACATTTGATAATTCAAAATATGAATTCTGTTCTGATCAATTAAGTTAAATTTTTATAATCATGTTTGTTGTTAAAAATGGATTTACTGAGCTAAGCATTATTTTTCGTTTATTATCATGTTTGTGTATTTTTACCGTCCTACCTACTCGTCCAGGATCCCCCTGATACTGAGCTGTTTACATGAAAATTGAGGAAAACCTTGCCCACCAGATTTTTTTTCACTCATTGAGGATTTATCGTTTGATTTGGTGTTTAACATGTCATTAGGTTGCGAAAATTTCGGGATTAGAAAAATTAAGTTTGTGGCAAAAACTTTTCTGAAAGTGAAAACAAAATTCCAAAAATATATACTTTTGTTTTCTTTGCAAAAACTTCATTTACAATTTAATGATTTTTAACGATATTGAACATGTGCGTTTTGCGCACACATTATACAAACAGTTGTTTTCCACATATAGGTCTCAAGCTTTGTTAGAAGCTACATAATATGAAAGTAAAGTTTTATCTGTGTTCAGCATAGAGAATAGAATATATAGAGAGGAATTTACTAGAAAAAAGTGTAAAACGGCCATTTTGTTGTACTGTTTCCATACTGCAGGTGTACTTCACATATTTATGCTATATAACCTGTTGGGCCCTGGAATATCATTTTATAGAAAATCTAAGATTATTGTTAAAAGAAAACCAAATTATGAAATAGGCTGGTTTCATGATTGACCAATGATCATTTCACATAGACTCTATGCCTTCCACTTTACAAACGATGATTTTCCGTTATAACTATAAATCAAATGATGTTTTTATTCACCTAATTCATTATAAAGTTTATTTAACAGCTTTAAAATATTCGAAATTGAAATGGATAGTCTAGGGAACATACTGTATTAATGTACTCTACTGCATATAATTTGTGAACATTTACATGATTTGTACACTTTGAACTCCCTTCCAGGCTGAAAGGGACTGAAAAAATTCATACCGAGAGATTCTTTTAATTCCTCTCTATATATTCTATTCTCTATGATGTTCAGGTTAGCAGTGTACCCAGAAATGATCTCAACACATTTCCTGAATACGTCCTTCCGGCAATACTTCCGCTTTGTCAGGTCAGAACAATTTATTTGTTTTTGAAAACAAAAATTATTATTTTTAAATTGAGTATTTTTGTTCGGTATAATTTATACTTTTTGAGTTGATTTAATATTTAATAAGTTTCATAATTCGTGATTTTTTCCCAAAATATTTTACTTTTTATTGTTTAGGATCCATCCGTTCATGTTCGAACCTCCTTGGCTCGCCACCTAGCGGATATTGCGGAGTTATCTATCCGGTTCCTGGATATGGTGACTCTGAGTGGAGGTGGAGAAGGGGAGACTGGTCCTAGCTGCAGCTATGATGCTGAAGTTAGTGCTCTACATGAACCTATCCGTCAGGCGGTTACTCTACTCCTGGAGGATCAGCAGAATTGTGTCAAACAGGTTCTAGTACAGTACGGAGCTGCTAGGCTAGCCGTCTTCTTTGGTAGACAGAGAGCTAACGATGTACTTCTCTCTCATATGATCACATTTCTGAATGACAAGAACGATAGTCAGTTGAGATATTGCTTTTTCGATAATATTCCAAGCGTTGCTGCTTATGTAGGTTGGCACTGTTCTTCTATTCTCAAACCTCTCCTACAGCAAGGTTTAGCAGACCCGGAGGAGTTTGTTGTGGCTAGAGCCATCAATGCAATGTCGAGCTTAGCTAGGCAAGGTTTATTGGAGAAGGTTTCATTGTTCGAGATTCTCCGGGATACTCTACCCTTCCTGATGCATCCAAATATATGGATACGACAATCTGCAGTTGGAATGGTGGTTGCGGTTGCTTCTAAACTTGATGTTGTGGATGTTCAGGTTAAGATAGGATGCTTGCTGAAGAACTATATAAAGCAGAGTATTGTAACCCTGGATGATCCTGCCATTGTAATGTCTTATCTGAAGGAACCAATACCCAGGGCTGTCCTTGATGCTATTATCAAATACAACGACGTCCCTGGACTCATCTCATTACTGGAGGAACGCCAAACTTCGCGTAGAATATGCCGAGGTTCCGGTCAGCAGGTTGTATACAACGAGATGGCCGGTCAGTTTAGGCAACTGTTCGCCAGGCTCGCCAAGGCTGGAATGTTTCCTGGCGTAGAAGATCAAATCCTGGGTCTCAGAGAATATGTTCTCAAGGTTGCTCGACAGAGAGGGATTAGTAAGGATTATCAGGGGATTGTTAATATAAGTTTGGATCCGTGTAAAAAGTGGACAACGCCTTTAATCTCGGATGGACCAAGACGGGACGGAGCATATGATTCAGGTATAGATAAAGCAAATTGTTTTCATACATATTAATAAATGGGATTATCGACGTTTATCTGAGTTACAGTGAGGAAGATCGTCATTTTTATATCAATCTCTCTATTTCATTCCTTGTTTGTATTGCAAAGGGGATACCTCCCATCATTTCTTCTCAGACAAATGTTTTAACTGTACCGTTGTGAATTGAGCATGCACCTCTTTTAACTGGTGATTGTTCTAAGTATTTGATTAATAAATCCATTATTTAGGTGGAGAGGATTGGTTGAATATAATGGAAGGTCGAAAGAAAGCAGTTCCTGATGGAGAAAACTCCGCTGGGATTGCACCTTGTAGGATCTCCCTGTCAAACCTTATCCTGGAGAAGAAAAAGGAATGTCACAGCTTAGCAGAGCAACGGGAGAAGTGTAAGGGTGAGGATAAATCAGCAGTCTGGAAACCACGAGGACATCTTGTTGCTCATCTAACAGAACATAAGAAGTCAGTAACTGGTGTTGTTACTATACCGGACACTACATTGTTCGCTAGCTCCAGTGTTGATGGAACACTCAGGATCTGGGATTGTGCAAAGATGGAGGGAAGATATATTGCAAACAAGACGAGGCAGGTTTATAACAGACAAACACCTTTAGATTGTCTAGCAGCGGGTAGAAATAATCTTACTCTTGGTATAGCTGCTAGGGACGGGTCTATATGTGTACTAAACCTGGAGAAACAATGTTCTATTGCGAGTAGGAGTTTAAACTTGGAGGAGGACGGTTGTCCTGTCAAACTTGAGTTCCAGGATTCAGTTCTATTCTACACATCATCCCTAGGAGTAACCGTTGGTTGGGACCTACGTAAGCCTGGAGATGGAATGAAGCTGAAAACTGAACTAAGATATGGGTATGGTTTGACGACAGCTATGTGTTTGAACACAGAGGAATACTGGTTGACAACAGGAACCTCGGACGGTGTTGTAAGCTGTTGGGATCTCAGGTTCGGGCTCAGGGTCTCGAGTTTCGCTCATCCTAGTAAAGCACGAGTACGACGCTTAGTTCCTGGTTTCTCCGTAGGCCAGGTTCTAGTATCTGTTCAGGGGAATAACGAGGTAGGATGTTGGAACCTTGAATCCCGTAGTAGACAACAGGTTCTCTGGGCATCCTCTGCTTCTCCCCTATCCATCGTACAACCTTCTCAACACTCAGTACTCGCCATGAAACAGTCAGGATATTGTCTTATCACAGGTTAAACCTTTAGTATTAAATCATGAATGTTTAGGTGGGACGGATTTAAATATTGATGTTTAGGTGGGACGGATTTATATATTGATATTTAGGTGGGACGGATTTATATATTAGTGTTTAGGTGGGACGGTTTTATATATTAATGTTTAGGTGGGACGGATTTGAATATTGATGTTTAGGTGGGACGGATTTATATGTTAATGTTTAGGTGGGACGGATTTGTACATTCGTGTTTAGGTGGGACGGATTTATATGTTAATGTTTAAGTGGGACGGATTTAAATATTGATGTTTAGGTGGGACGGATTTATATATTGATGTTTAGGTGGGACGGATTTATATATTAATGTTTA